AAAATGAACCAAAAGGATAGAAACAAATTAAATAGATCTATAATAAGCAATGACACTGAGCCGTAATAAAGAGCCTTCCACCAAAGAAAAGCTCAGGACTAGATGAATTCATTGCCAAATTCTACCACACCTTTAAAGAGCTGACACTAATGCTCTTCAAACTATCCTATGAGACAGAGTGAGAAGGCACATTATCAAAACTTATTCTATTAAAATCAGTATAACCCTAATGCCAAAACTGGATAAGGACAAAACAAAAACCTATAGATCAATTTCCTTGATGAACATAAATGCAAAAATCTCAGTAACATACTTGCAAACCAAATTGAACACATTAAAAAGATCATACACCATGATCAAGTTGGTTTCATTCCTGGAATGTAAAGATGGCTCACACAGTTACAATCATCTGACTTTTCCACTAAGGTGCCAAAAAATGTACATTGGAGAAAAAATATACTCTTCAACAAATGGTGTTGGAAAAACTGAATAGCCACATGTAGAAGACTGAAACTAGATCCCTGTCTCTCACCCTGTACAAAAATCAATTCAAAATTGATCAAAGACCTTGTATAAGATTTGAAACTACTAAAGAAAAGCATAGGGAAAATGCTTCAAGATACAGGCATAGACAAGGACTTTCTGAATAGGACTCTAATCGCTCAAGATGTAATAGTCAGAATTGCCAAGTGTAATTGCATCAATTTAGAAGGCTTCTGCACAACAAAGGAAACAATTACCAGAGTGGAGACAGGTTCCAGAAAGGGAGAATATCTTTGCCAGCTATTCATCTGACAAGGAATTAATATTAAAAATATAGAGTTCAAAAAAATTAAACACCAGAGAACCAATAACCCAATCAGTAAATGGGCAAACTGAAAAAATGCTTCTCAAAAGAAATGCAAATGGCCAGTACATGCATGAAAAATGTTCAACATCTTCAGCCTTCAGGGAAATGAAATCAAATCTACTTTGAGACTCCACCTCACCCCAGTCAGAATGCCAATCATCAAGAAACAAAAACCAGCTCACATCTATAATCCTAGCTATTTGGGAGGCTGAAATTAGTAGAATAGCTGTTCAAGGCCAGCCCAAGCAAAACCCCATCTCAACCAATAGCTAGGTATGGGAGCATCCCCATATTATCCCAGGTGGGAAGCTTAAAATAGGACAGTGGTCCAAGCTAGCCTGGGCAAAAAGCAAGACTGTATCTCTAAAATAATCAGAGCAAAGAGGGCTGTAGGTGTGGCTCAAGCAGTAACCCACCTGCCTTCCCAGAAGGAAGCCCTGCTTTCAAACCCCACTACTACCAAAAAAAGAAAAGAAAATCAAAAACAAAGGCTGGCAGACAAGGATTAGGGAGGAAATGAACCCTTATACACTGTTCATGGTAATGTAAAAGTAAATTAGCCCGGCCACAATGGGAATCAGTATGGAAGTTCCTTCAAAACTTAAAAACAGAACTACCAAATGATCTAGTGTACCCTCAAGGAATCAAAGTCAGCATGCAAAAGAAATACCTGTATGCTCATGTTTATTGTGGGACTATTCACAATCGTCAAGTAACAGAAACAGCCCAGGTACCCATCACTGGATGAATGAATAAAGAAAACGTGGTTATGTATATACTCAAGGAGTATTACTCAGTTATAAAGAACAAGTTACATCATTTGCAGGAAAGTGAATAGAACTGGAGATCATGTTAAGTGAAATAAGGAAGCCTCACAATGACAAACATACATGTGTTTTCTCATATGCAGAATCTGGATTTAAAAAAGAAAGCATGGGAGTAGAATGGGACTATTAGGGAAGAAGTAGGAAAAGAGAGGAAAAAGGGTGTGTGAATAGGATCAAAGTACGTTATGCTCACGTATGAAAATGTCATAATCAAACCCACTATTTTGTACAATATATGCAAATAAAGATTCAAAATAAATACAATAAAACCCCATCATTCCTAGCACAAAATTGTAGGGAGGAGACCTACAAGTCAGAGTTTGCCAATCCTGGTCAACCAATTGTGATCAGGATGCATATTTAGACTAATTATTTTGTCTAACTAAAGAAAATTACACAACTGTAATTGTACAGTTACAGTTATCTGTAATTGTACAGATGGTTTCTGACCCATCCTTTGTTGTGTTTTAAGATATAACCTTTTCACAGCTCCATATGGTTGGTATATTTGGATGACCTGTGGGGCATAGTTCATTTATAAATCATAGGTCAGCCAGTTGCTTTCTACATCTAAGAATAAGAAGTGTGTATGTCTTTATCCACAATGCCAGAACCTAATTTAGCATCCTTTTAGTCATATCAATCATGGGCTTTTTAATCATATTAACAGCTAAACAAGAGAAAATAAAATACATTTATCTTCCAATTTGCTCAAATTGTCCAACATATTGAGAAAAACATTTTGACAGTTGTGAATGAGAAACTGGGAATGGTTTTCCATCATTTTTTCCTCCCTGATTTTTCATGGAAAATTAGTTCTAGGCTAGGTAGACTCAGGAGGCAAAGATCAGTTCAGGGGAAGCTCAGTCGAAGCCCCAGCAAAAGGTAGTAGGACCCCTTCCCAACAAATAAGTTAGGTATGGGGGTGCACATCTGTAATTCTAGCTATGCAGGAAGCACAGATAGGAGAATTAAGGTGAAGGCCAGTCCCAGGCAAAAACACAAGACCCTACTCAAAAAAATCAACTAAAAGCAAAAATAAGGGGGCTGGGAGTGGGGGCAGGTATGGCTCAAGTGATGCCTGCCTAGCAAGTGCAGGCCCTAAATTCAACACCCACTACTGCAAAATAAAGGAATGAATCAATGAATCAATAAAAAAAGAAAGAAAAAGGAAGGAAGGGAGGGACAGAAGGAGGGAAAGAAAGAAAACTAGCTCTAACCCAAACTGCTAATTTCTAGCAGACTGTCATTACCAAGTCAGACTAACAATAATAATACAAATCTGTTAACTCCTACTAAATTCACAGGTTATTAAACATAGTTTAATATGTACCTAAAAGCTAAACATCTGTAAGGCCCTGGATTCAATTCCTAGAACCACAGAAAAAGATTCTGGAGGAAACTGAGTGTGGTGGTGCACAACTGCAATCCCACCACTTCATTCCAGAGATGAAGAGGATCCCAAGTTCAAGGCCAGCCTGGGCTACAAAGGGGAACCTGCAAGGAAATGCAGTGGGGGGGGGGGTTACATTGACTTAACCACAATGCATGTACAGGTGTAATACCAAGGCAAAAATCCCACTGAACAACGGACAGACACCAAAACAACACAGGTCATGCTAAGGGGAGAGTATTACGAGAGGGTAAAAGAAGGAAGTAAAGAAGGTGCATATGGTTAATGTGCTTTCTATACAAGAATGAACACAGAAGTTTTAAACCTGCTGAAATCACCGTAAGGAGGAGACTAAGGTAGAAAGAGAAAAATGGAAGGGATGAACCAATTTGGGTTATAATAGCTATACACATGAAAATGTCATAATGAAACTCCCTATATAGATATCGTAAATAAAAATATCTTTTTTTTTCAAAAATGGAGAACAGTAGGGTAAAACAGTTCCTGTCTGGGGGGTTAATGCCAGTGGGAGGGGAAGGATATTACAAAAGGGTGTAGGAGGGTGAATATGTACTCAAGTATGCAAATGAAAAAATGAGACCTGTTGAAACTTCTCCAAGAATGGAGAGAAGGAGGGATAAAGGAGAATGTGGAGGAGGTGAATTTAACTAAGATATAAGTACTTTTGTAAATGTCAAAATGTACCCCCAGTAAAACAATAACACAATGAAAAACAAAGGGAGACCTTGTCTGAAAAAAAAAAAGTTCTAAAGGATAATCCTGCAACAGAAAATCAACAAGCATTCTCAGAGGGATCAATGTACTTACCTACCAGGAACAAAAGAATAAACTGTGGATTAACTGAGTGCATTCCTTCCTATTGAAATGCCTTCCCACTGGGCTCCTCCACACATTACTTCATCCATTAAGGAATGAAAACCTAGTTATCTGAAGCATTAAGAGTCTATGCCTCACCTCATTACCCACTCTTCCTCAAAACAAAGTATCCCTCTTAACTGCACGAGGCCAGGTGATGAGTGTGATGAAGTTCTCCCCACCCCTCTCAACATGAGTTGCTGCTGTGGAGTTATCTTCCAGGAGGCTGTGAGCTTGCCTTGTCTTCTCATATGCACTCTCTTCCAGCCTCTGAAGATAATCTATGGCACGCTGGCTCAGGTGGACCTTCACTGGCAGCAAAGAAGTAAAATACCAGTATGTCACCATCTGAGAGCCCCTGTGTTTCTCATCAGCTGTCTGATTTGTGAACCCGCCACATTTCTGGAGCTATGCCAAGTGCCTCACCTGATGGAAAACACTTATGAACTTATGAATCACTTTGGAATACAATTTCTCAATAGAAAGGTAACAGATTGCTAGCTCCAATTGCCTGAAATGTATATATCAGGTTGTGTGGCCAATTTAATGATTGGACGGAATTAAAGACTGCAAGGTCTATTAAAAAGAGACAACAGTGAAATACCTTGTTTAGAATCAGTTCTGTGAGTGCTAAAGGGATCTTGAAGTAATAGATAAGTGCAATATAGTGTTTTACTCATAGAAAAGAAAGTACAGATGGAAACTAAACGTGGACTTACTGCATTAGGGTAGTGGTTCTGAAACTTGCCTAAATGTCAGAATCACCCAGAGTTTTAAAAGATACCAATGCCCAGCTGTACCCCCAAACTAATTAAATTCAAATCTGGGGGTGAGAGGGTCCAGGCCTCTGTGGTTTTTTAAAGCTCCCCAGAAGATGCCAATGTGCAACTGAGATGGAGAGCCCCTGCATTGGAGAATATGGTCCCCAGCTTTGTAATGCTCAGTCTTACAAAATCTACTGGTGGATTTTTCCTTATTTCTACCAAAACTTCTTTATAACTGGGATCTAGGATTTAAAAACTTATAGAAATAGAGATTCACATACACAACAACATAAAATACATGCACACATTTTTATTTAACTTAGGCCCTGATTATTAGCATACAAACCAGAAAATCTGAGTGCCTTGGAACTTACATATCCTCTCCAAATCTTTAAAGAACTTACCTCTAAAAAACACACATCAAAGATATTTAAGTCATATACACACACAAACACACACACTTTAATCACCTTCAGAACCATGATCTAATAACATATTTAAAAGGTAAGATCTCACTCATTACTATACAAAAAAAACACCCACATCCAAAAACAAATCACCAAACTTTAAGACACGTGCCCTGAGCACAGGCACTTACAGTTACAATGGTTTATTGGTAGCACTTTGAGGTAGCGTATTTTGTAAAGTAACAGAAGTCACACAGCTGCTCTATAGATCCCCTTAGACATAAAGGCACAGGCCATCAGCCTTGACAGAGGAAAGTGAATTTGTCTGTATTCATTGACAATGTCAGTCCAAACACACTTGGCCATCCCTCCACCACATTTGGTGTCTTGTGGGCTTATAAAAACATAAGGACATCCTGATGCATCTTTCCTCCTGGTGTGGCAAAATCCCAGGCTGTGGAGCCAATACCCTTTTGCCACACGCAATCCTCCCTGGCAGGAGACATATGATACCAGTGGAAAAGGAAACTGGGCATCCTGGTACCCTTTTTAATTGTCTTTAACAACTTAATTAAGAATGACGCACTCCGTTAAGGCTATAAAGAGGTTCGTTTCTCAGTATTTCCTCCATGATTCTGGCCCTTAAAAGGCTCTTCCTTTCCCCTCCCTGGGTACAATCATTTTGGGGTATCATTAAGCTCTGGGATTTTCCTGGCAAAGGGAGAGTAGAGATACTTTTTAAAAATCCACATACAAAAACAACAACCAAAACCCAGATGCAAGAGCAACACCAAGAACAGACTTCCTTTGTGCAAGTTAAAATGACAGTCTTCAGTTCAGGAAAACAGCCTGCTTCTTAAAAAATTAATAATAATAATAAAATAAAATAAAAAACCAAAAATGTAAATATTCAGCTCAGCTCTGCATTTTAAAAACAAATATACACTCAAGGCAGGCTAAGGATTAAAGCTGCAAAAATGGTCCCAACAACCTCAGACCTTGGTGCAGGTCAAATGTTTTGCCCAAAGATCACAGATTAAATACAAGCCCTTTTGTCCCAATATACTTCCTATTTGAAAGTTGAATCCTTAGAAGTTGTCAATTTACAAATGAATAAAAATAGCACATGTCCAGACAAAAAAGGGCATGAGCTGGGCCTGAGTTGACAAGTAAAACTGTCATTCAGCATCATACAAAACCCTCAAAGGCTGCCCAGAAATGGGACCCCAGGCTTTGCTGCATATACCAGCCACCCAAGCCAACTGGCACACAACATAATGAGGGTTAGATGTCAAGTATCCAAGGTACTACAGTAGCTGGTCCTCTGAAGAGCTCAGGCAGTCTCTTGGGAGCACCCCAGCACACCCCATTATACAAAAAGTGAAAAGCTGCTGGTGGTCACTATCAAAACTGGGGTGCAAAGTAAGGAATAAAAGAACTGCCCTTCGGATACACCAGCTTTACAAAGACAAACTCTTTAACATTTTGTACAACTAGAAGTTATGTGAGCTGGTATTTAAGCAATCCTTTTGAACTCTTTTCTCCTCTTTTTGTATCAAACAGGTTCTGTTGGGTTAACAGTGTCATTTAAAATGCCATAAATTAAATAAGTTAGTTCACATTTTTTTTCTTTCTCAGCACTTAAGTTACAGTCAGTCACTAAAGTGCTTTTGAAGCCTGCTTTAACAGTTCCAGGTCTCTTCGGGGGACACTGCCAGTTTTGGGACACCCATAATCATGCAGCTGCAAGGGGATGAATTGTTCAAGCACCCCGAGACCCTGCTCAGCAGGACTGGTAAATAGCTTAGTCCATGATGGTTCAAAGTTTCCGCTGAATCCCAAAAATATGGTACTCCCTAAAAAACAAAACAACAAAAAAACTAGTTTAATTTTATACAGCTACTCATTCCAGTAGGCAACGTGGGAGATGAGTCAGAGTTGAACAAAACAAAGACAGATATATGTCGTATTTTTTTTTTAAGTTGGAACTTCCTTACATAAGCAAATTAACTCTTTACCACCCAAATGACAAACCATATCCCCAACACAATTCCTCTAACACTGGCCCTTACTTAGAAATTGTTTTAGTGACACCCACTCCAGGCAAACAAGCTCATGAAAATGTTCTAGCAGCTAAGTTTCCCCATAAAAATGTTTATGCTGTTGACCCCTAAGAACTTCATAGGACATTACAAATACAAACCTTTGTTATAAAGATGAGCTGGCTTGGCTAATCCCAGAGGTATTAATGAATCTGAAATATTCAACTGCTTTATTTCTCCTCTTGTGCTTAACAGAACAATTGATCTGCGGGTAAAAGTTAGAAAATCAGAGCCAATTTCTGTCATTCAGCATGTATTTACTGAGTAATTTTCTGGATTAAATATGGTATAGAAATACTATACTGCACTCAGTATATATATACAGTATAGTATATTCAGTATAGTGCATACAGTATTGTAGGCAAAAGCTGAACTTATAAAGGAATACAGCCCAGAGGTTTCTTCATTCCTGCCAATAAAATTTCCAGCTCCCCTACCTGAGAAGGAACTTCTTGAGCTGCAATTAGGAAGGGTAATAATGCAGGGAAACCCAAAAGTACAAAAAAACAGAAGTCACTTAGGCAAACTGACCTAGCAAATGGTTTGGGACTCAGCTTTTTTAGGGAATAATCTATTATCCACAAGAGGATGGTTTGTTTTTATCTCAGGTGCCTATTTATGTATACATTATTATCTATTTATGAAATGAATGGATAAACCTAATCCTAAAAAATTAAAATATGGGCTTAGGGTATAGCTTAATGGTAGCACAAGAGACAGGGCCCTAGGTTTGATCGTTAGCACTGCAATAAATAAATAAATAATAACATGAGCTGTTCTCCATGATTTGAAAAACAGTTTGATTTTTTTGGATAGTGACCTTTATCATATAGTAAATCAATACAATACTCAGCTTGGTTTGTGGATTCTGGTTTCTCTTCCTGGCTTAGTTACTATGGCTTCATGGTTTATTTTAGAATACAGTAAACAAGCCCCTTGCATTAGTATAATTTGTTTAAAAAGAGTTTTCTACTCTGTCACATATTCTTCCAGGTAGACTTCAGTATCAATTGCCAAATTCAAAAGGAAAGTTGTCTATTTACTTCTACTAATGCAAGTGTGTTCATTTTATATTTTAATTTAGGTAGTGACATCTTTACAATATTAGCTTTCCACTCAGAAAAAGTCTCCCCTTTATTTTAACTCTTACTGAATATCCTTTAGTAATATATTTATTTTCTTAATGTGCACCTTAATGTTTCTTAAGACTAAGACTCTTGGGTGTTAGTGTGGGATCTTTGTTGTAGTTTTTTAAAGCAGTGGATATTCACTTCATAATCAGTGCAAAAGACTGACTACAGCAACCCTGCAGACCTGACCTTCTTTAATAAGTCGGAATCACCCAGGCCAGTGTCATGAGATGGTTAACAAGTCACTCCCTACACATGCACATGTCATCAGTCTCCCAAAAGTCACTACCAGTTGCCCCACTTCTCAATACTTTGTTAAAAAGCAACATACACAAAACTATTCATTACTAAGCATACAACACATTTAAGGTTTTACAAACTAACATACTTGTATAACCAGCAGCCAGATTTAGAAACAGCATTTCAGGTCTGTCAAAAGCCTTCCCTAGGTCCCCTTTCTAGACACCACCTTTTTAATGAGTTGGTTTTAACTCTTAAATCAATTGGTTATGTTGCAGAACTACTATATTGTCTTAACTATTTGTGGGGAGATTATATGCTGGATTGTTTTAGGTGAAGTGAATGCTTATGTTTTTAACATGAGGAAAAAACCTTTTGATCCTCAAAGAATATTGAAATCCCAGACAGGAATCTCTATAGGAGAGCAGGGCTGGTCTTGTCTAGGGTGATTGGTATCAGTGGGTAGGGAAAGAATGTGGGGAAAGGGAGTCAGAGAGTGAATATGGTGTGTGTACTGTGTACAAATGTATGCAAATGGAAAAATGAGGCCTGCTGAAATTATTCCAAGAATGGGGGGAAGAAAGGAGAATGATGGAGGGGGTGAATTCAAGTATGATATATTTGATATATCATAAGAACTTTTGTAAATGCCACAATGTAACCCTATCTAGCACAACAAAAAAAATTTAAAAATAAAGAAAGGAATTTCCTGTAATTGTCTTGAACCAGAAAGACAGAACTACTGTCAGCCCTCCTTACCCCTGGGTCTCACCTAGCCAAATTCAACCCATCATGGATTGAAAATATTTGGGAAAAAAAATTTATCAGTAGTAAATTAAAAACAGACTTTTCTTTATCACTTTTCCCTAAACAATACAGTATAACAACTATTTACATATTATTTACTTGGTATTAGGTATTAGAAATAATCTAATAGATATGATTTAAAGTATATAGGAAGACACATGTAGAATATATGCAAACATTACACCATTTTACATAAGGGACTTTAGTTTCTGTTGATTTGGCCATCTGCAGAGGGTCCTGGAACAAATCACCTGTGGACACTGAGAAAGACTGCTTATACATAGAATATTGCATCAAAATAAACCAATGGTTTCATGGGACTTATCAGGATATGATTCTGTAATCTGTAAAAGATAGAAGTCATCAGATCAACCAAAAATAACTTGAAAGCTAGACAGGACTTATTCCCTGGGGAGTGTATATTGTTCTCTTAATGGCTGTATTTAACATTCACAGCAAAGCTAAAGGGCAGACAGGACCTTGTATTTATCTCCTTTCTTCTGGCAGGGTCTGACCAACCCAGAAAAAGAAAGGTTTCTCTCTCCAGCATCTTTCAACAAGGAAAAAACAGCCAGACTAGTGCTCTTAAAAGAGAGATTGAGCCACTTCAAAATCAATTTAGTCTTTTCTTATCATTTCCAAGTGACCTAAGTGATGACTTCCTATATCACAATCATACCACAGTGCTGAGGGTTCATCAGTGGGACAGATGGCTGCAGAGGTAAAACTGCCTGGAAAATTACTTGAAAGTGGTAATAAGACTTCGGAGGGACAGGAGTACATAGTAGATCAACTTAATACTAAAAAGTGTCATAGTAATGTTACAAATAATGTGCTTTTCTCTTTCTAAAAGCCCTGAGCCTTCCTGCCATTTGGAAAATATTCTAGCATCTAAGTTCTGTCAATAATAAGTGATAGCTTGTCCACAGTACCTTGGGCCACACAGGCATCAATCTGAGGTGAGAAAGGAATGCTTTTACAGAAGCTCAAAGTCCAAGGAGAAGAAGATTGGGAAGAAAAATCAGAGTTCACAGGTAAACAGGTGTTATCTGTGGGAAAGACTCCACATCTTTAAGGCAACTTGTCCCTGGTACAAAGCAAACTTGCCTTACCTTGGAGGGATGCTGGTTTTTAAGTACTCTTCCATGCGACCGACATCAGCAAGAGGGAAAACTTGTTTTTCTGTCAACCGGAAGGGAATGCTGCATGCATCTATAACAAGGATGAGGACGCCTGCGCTTCGGAAGGTAAAGTCAGTGCCATTGACCTGAGAACACAAAAACATCTTCTGCTGTCATCACCATTTCAGGAAATGATGACTTGTCTTCTAGCTCCTTCTAAACCCAGGATCAAACTGTGTTTCGCTTTACTCTTTCCCTCCAATGTCTGAAATGGTGCCTGTGTTCTTCTAGCCTCTGCCCATAGACCCTGCATTGGTTAATCTTTGGTGATCAGATCAGATGTTCTGATCAAGGCATGGCAACCCCACTCAGATGAGCTGGGTGAATGCAGTACTCAAGCCTTGCACACACACCCTGTCACTGGAGTCAGAGCTCCAGTGTCAGAGATCAGGTCAGCAATCAGGTGGTAGCCTCTGTGCCACACTCATGCCCATCATGATTTGACCCACAAAGACCTGCCATCACAGCCTAGGTGTGGAATATCACAGCAGCCTGATTGCTTTATCTACTTTGTTCCAAATATAGCTCTCCTCTGATATTAAAATGGCAAAGTAGTACTTTACTAAGATTTAAGCTACAAGGTACTATTACTACAGTTTGCTTTGCAATAATTGTAAGCTGAATTTCCATAATTACCCTCTTTAAATTATGGTTTGTGAGCTTTTCAAGAAAGAGATATTCCAGACATGTTCAAATATGACTAATTTTTTCAGGCAAAAAGGGAAAATAAAACAAAACTGACATACCACCAACCTACAACCACTGTTTCTGTTTATAAGGTATAAAATTCTAAACGATACTAAGCCAAATAAAGTAGATGTTCTCTCATTGTCCTTGCTTGGGAAAATTATATTTAAATGTTATTTCTAACACTATTAATCCCACTTTTTTTTTAAAGCTATGTTTAATTTGCTCTAATACAGTGAGTAGTACTGGAAGTGCCTGAGGTAAATTGTATAGTGAAAAGGCAAAAAGTGATTCCCCTATTTTTAAAAATCTCTATATATAAAATTACAGCACACTTAAGAAAAAATATATACTGATCCTCAATACACTCACATTGTCCACCCTCCCCCAACCTGTTGGTGAAAGGAAACAAAACTTTCCATAAAACTCAAACATACTAAATCCAAGAATGTTCAGGTCATGTTTGTGACGGTTCTGGAAATAAATATGACAATATGTGGTATCCCATGACTTCTCTAGAGTCCTACATACCCAGTGTGTAGCAATGGAGTCAAATAAAGTCTTCAGACCTTGCAGCATAACCAGCTTGAGACTGTGGGGTTTTGGCTTGTTCTTGTTACTGTTTCCAAAACAGTATCTTCTTTAATTATCAAGGGGACCTCAGCACCCACCCACTTCCTTTACATCACCCCCACTAGACACCACAGTAGCAGGATCAATCAGCTTCTTTGTTTTTTTTTTTTTGTGTGTGTGGTACTGGGGCTTGAACTCTGGGCCTACACCTTGAGCCACTCCACCAGCCCTTTCTGTGATGGGTTTTTTCAAGATTCGGTCTCGCAAACTATTTGCCCAGGCTGGCTTTGAACCACAATCCTCCTGATCTCTGCCTCCTGAGTAGCTAGGATTACAGGCGTAAGCCATGGGCGCCCAGTTCAATTAGCTTTTTCATGCAGCTGAATGCATTGACAGGCTGCACTAAAAACAAATTCCATGCCCATCAAAGGACATCTTGACTGTGTCACAAAGTGTAGGATTGCAAACAAAGGGAACTAGATGCAAATATAGTCCTGAAGAATCTTCGTGCTCCATTTAAATAGAGATTTGTGACTCAGAGTTGTTAAGTAAAATCAAAATTCTAAAACTAGGTGGTGGTGATGGCTGCACAATATGAATTTGCTTCATACCACTGAACTCTACACTTAAAAATGGTTAAGATGGTAAATTTCATGTTATGTGTATCTTAACACAATAAGGAAACTGGGAAAGAAGAGTAAAATTTAATTTTGTCCAGACATGTATGGATTTGTATTATGTTGCTCATTACTGAAAACAATGAGCTCTTAAAGGGATCAAATGAAATGGGGCACAGGCCCTGCCTGGCTATAAATTGGATGGTTGAACGCTTGTTACTTTTCACATGGTAAGACCCAGGTCAACCTTATTTTGGATAAGCCACATCCTAACTATTATCTGTAAACCCAAATTCTAGCACTGACACTGAAACTCTTATCTATATTTCATTAACTCACTTAGAAAAGACAAGTCTTTGTATCTTCACTTTTCTCACCTCTTTTCCCAAAATAAGATAGATGATCTTAAAATTAAAAGCCAAAAAGGTTTTAAAAACCTTCACTTACTATATCTTAAGCAATCCAAGATCATTCTAAGACCCCAAAGAAGTTTTCTACTTAACAGTTGAATATGGCAATTGTTTTCTAACCAAAGATGCCTTTTTTCTTACAGAAATTAGAGTCACCTGTAATACTTAGTGAGTGAAAATAAGAATAAATTTTAACATTAGCCTAAAAGTAATCAGTAAACAATCCATTCAGGAAAAATTTTAATAAAAGTAATTTATTTTAAAACACAAATCAGTAGGAGGTATTCATACCTCGATCATATTCTTGCCACCAATAATCAAAATGTATTTACAAACCAGTGTCTATTTCCAGAGATAATTTACATCGCCAGGATGAAAGGTAACAGCAAGAAGCCACAGCAGCATAAATACTTGCTATGGTTTGATTATTAGTATCCGTCAAATTCATAGGTTGAAATCTTAATTACCAAAGTGATGATATTAGGAGGTGAGGACTTTTTAGACAGGAAGGTGAAGCTCTCATGAGTGGGACTAGTGCCCTTCAGACAAAGCCCAAGAGACAATCCTTGGCCCTTCTACTACAAGAGAACAAAGAGAAGGTTCCATCCATGAATGAGAAAATGGGCCTTCTCTGGACACCACATCTGCCAGTGCCTTGATCCTGCCCTTCCCAGTCTCTAAAACTGCAACCAAGTAAAAAGTTTCTATTGCTTATAAGCCACCAAGTCTATGGAATTTTATTTAGAACAGCCTCAACAGGCTAGGACAACACCAGACAGTACTTACAGAAATGACAGACGGGTCTCCACGCTGAATTTCTGCTTTACTGGGTGACAGGAATTGCACAGGGAGGTAGCTCTTGTGAGGATCACTAGTAAACACCAGCTGGATAGGAAAGAGTTTCATATTTAATACAACTATGTCCCTCCTCCCAAAGTATCCCTCAGAATAACCTCGATTACATCAATGCCACAGGATGTTTTTCTTTTTTTGAACTTTCTGTACATGCAATGTAGTTAATATAGAAAGTATATTTTTTTCATTTTCTAGAATGATCTCAGTTTCAAATAAGTATGGGCTTTTTAATGAAATCAGTTCAGGGACTGGGGGTGTAGCTCAGTGATACAGCATGTGTGCCGCATGCATGAAGCCCTGGATTCAATTGCCAGCAAGCCCCCCACCCCGCCATCAATCGATTCAATAAATGACTAAATAAAGGTGCTTTAAAATTAAACCTTTGTAAACATTTCATGCAAAAAATAGGTACACATCTTTTTTAATGGTCCTTTTCAGATCAATTATTCTGAATTGGGGCTCAGTTACTCTAGGACTGAGACAGGAAGTATATATAACACTGTATAAAAACTTCCAGAGCTTGTTCAGGGCCAGGTCTCAACTCCTGTGGATGACTTGCAAAATGCTTCAAGTCAGACATTATGCACAAGCCCCCATCTCCTTCTGTTGTCACATTCAAGAGGCAAAGCCATGCCCTCACCTGTCCATAAGCACTTTACCTTCTTTCCTGCCTCTCTGCCTTAGCTGATGCTTCTCCCTGCTCAAAATGCCCTTTATTCTTCCCTTCCACTCCTCCAAATTACTCCCAGTCCCTACAGCCCACCCTCCCCCACAAACAGTTCTCTTCTCAATCAAAAGCACTTCCAACTGTCACACAATTGAACAGGTAAAAGTTACTCCAGAGGTGCAGGTAGGATGATCACAGTCCAAGGCAAAAGCATGAGACCCTATCTGAAAAACAAACTAAAAGGACTGGGAATGTGACTCAAGTGGTAGAGTGCTTGCCTAGCAAGTGTGAGGCCCTGAGTTCAATCCCTTGTATCACCAAAAGAAAAAAAAGTATATTGTTGTTATAAATCACTGCCAACAACTCCACTGCAATGAGAAATAATAATCACTCTACTTAGCAGCATTCAGAAGCTGGACATTTCTTTGAAGTCTTAGATTTCAGGGCAAAAAGTCGTGTGAATTTTCCCATTTATTCTAATATACATGTTTGTTCCTGAGTTCAAAACAAAAATTCCTCTCAAATTTCCAAGTAAAAGTGATGCTTCCAAAAGCTTCAAATACTCTGCAAACTACACAAAGTAGGTCATCAGTACTTTCCTTTTTTTTTTTTCTTTTGGGACAGGGTCTCACTCTGTAGCCCAAACTCATAATCCTCTGTCCGAGCCTCACAAGTGCTAGGAAGTGTGCACCACCATGCCTGGCATCAACACATTTTTAAATAACAAATTTTGAACAGTGAAAGAATGTTAAACATTAGTATATAGAACCCATTTAACAAGATTGGCCTATGATGTTCCCAGTGATGATTAAATTGTTTTTATAAATTATATAAAGTCTCTTCAGAAATGAAGGGCTTTCTGAACAAATCCAGCTTGAGAATGAGACTAAAGAATTTAATTCCCCACAAAGATTATCTCAAAATGTCACTAACGGTCAAAACATTATATGGGGGCTGGAGGGTATCAGTGGTAGAGTCTGTGCATAGCATGTGCAAGGCCCTGGGTTCCACACAAAAGGCCACAAAAAAAATTACATGGGCCAGTGAAGGGCCCATGCCCATGCCCATGTATGTACACCCATATAATATGTAACAGGCACTTAGAAACTGCTTTTGCTAAAAGCACTGACTCCTCACTTGGGCCTGCAAATGTTTGAAGGGTAACTAAAAATGATTAAAATCTCAGAACTGCTACTCCATTTTTGCATCTGTCTCCTCTGCTTTGAGCCCTTCTTTCCTGCCGTCACCTTGGGTTCCCAGAACAATGGGACTGATGGATAAATATCTTGTGACGAGAGTCCAATCTACCACCACCAGGGCAGCAAAGACTTTCTTATCATGACAAGGCCTCACGTGACTAATCCTGAGCTAATGACCAACCACACCACACCTTTGCAACTCTGACCAAAACTGCTTAATTATGCTTATCTTTCACTCCCTGCCCCAATTCTTCCTCTACTTAAACCTAAAGCTCGTGTCAGTACTCAGAAGATGGCCTAAAGTGCTTACTCTCCCTCTTCCCTTGGAATACTGGGGACAAGTGGCTGAAACTGACATGCTGGAACCCCAAAAGTTCGGCTTCTAGCCTAGGACTCTGATTACACATATACATACACATATATATGAGGTCTGAGTTTGTTGGCTAGTTTTTGGTTTTACTTATATGGGAGAACAGAGATGATTCAAGAATATAGGAGACTCATATCATGACAGTATGTTGCCATTAGAAAAAAAATGAAAACTTCACAATATATACTAATGGGAAGCATAAATTCATCTTTCTCTTCCTGCTTGTACTGCCATCAGTAGTCAGAAACAAATGGGAAAACAATGACAAATAAAAAATTTATGCAGTGGAAGAAGGAATTTTATTTCTTCAAATAAAAAAAATCGAAATCTTTTGATTTCGATTAGAAATGGAAAGACTCAGGATTTTTCTCCATATTAACAGTCAGTATGCATTTTTGTGGCAATTTTGTAAAACTCCTCAGTAGAATTCAAATGAGAAGAGCATCAGCATCAGCTGTAGTATTGTTACAGCAGATTGCTGCCCAGCTGAGCTGCTGACTTAGTAGGACTGGGGCAGGGCCCAAGAATTTCTATTTCTCACAAGTTCACAAGGGATGCTGCTCCAGGGCCACACTTTAAGAACCACTTTCCTTATCCCAGTATTTGTTTCTGTGAAGAGTAAATATGAATTAAGGCATTATTATCTCTATTTCTTTTTCAATTAGATATGATCCATCTTCCTTTGAAATTCCATCTGCTGGCCATATTTTTTGAAGATCCATTAGGATATATTTAAGATTGTATCAAGAGAGGCATTTTTACTTCTAGTCAAAGTCAGTCTGTACTTTTAATTATAAGTAAATAAAAATATCACATGCTTCAAAATACTGACTTTCCACTTTAAAAAAAAAAGGAAGCAATTTTCACATGAGCTACATTTTTTAAAAGAAATTTCACAGTGCTAGCAAAAAAAAAAGCATTTTAAATGTCACTTTTTGACACTTTTTGACACAGAAACCTGGTAGCAATACTGTAACAGATCACAAATCAGGTAAAGAAAAAACTGATAAGATAGCAACTTCTAATTTCAAACCGTACAAAATCCAGAGCCTATCAGGGTAAGCCTATGTTTCACAGGAGAAAAGTTCTTTTGTTATAAATTTCAATTCTTAGGAGCATTACATTCTAGAATTGGCCAATTCAGGAGATGCCATCAAGTGTTTACAAATTGGCGATACAGATTTTCAAAGAAAAATGTTCCTATGGCAAAGAAATCCCTTGACTTCCCTCTCAGGCTGTGGTCCCCTCCTCTCCCGTTTACCTGGCGGGTGCCACAGCCTTGACAGAGTCCAGTGACCATGGATGGCATGCGCTTGACCGCTGATGGCTTTCTGTAATACTGCGGATATGCTCTGGCCATGCAGTTACTGATGTCTTTTGAGTCTGTTGCTGCCTGGATCTTGACTCTTTCACATCCCTGAGAGGAACAGTAACTGTGGCCATCCCTGGGGCTTTTGGCTTTGAGATACAAAAACAGTAACCTGCACAAAATAGAAACCAACCCATTTGCTGTTAGACTTCCTCTCAAAGACATAAAATTCCTTAAATAGATTCATAGCCAAAGGGATATTCCTCCACAAAATAACTTTCCCTTAAAGTAAAAATAAATCACAAAAAAAAAATTACTTAAAAAGCTAAACATTGATCTACCATATGATCCAGCAATACCACTCTTGGGGATATACCCAAAAGACTGTGACACAGGTTACTCTAGAGGCACCTGCACACCCATGTTTATTGTAGCGCTATTCACAATAGCCAAGTTATGGAAACAGCCAAGATGCCCCACTACTGACGAATGGATTAAGAAAATGTGGTATCTATACACAAAGGAATTTTATGCAGCCATGAAGAAGAACGAAATGTTATCATTTGCCGGTAAATGGATGGAATTGGAGAACATCATTCTGAGTGAGGTTAGCCTGGCCCAAAAGACCAAAAATCCTATGTTCTCCCTCATATGCAGACATTAGATCAAGGGCAAACACAACAATGGGATTGGACTTTGAGCACATGATAAAAGCGAGAGCACACAAGGGACGGGTGAGGATAGGTAAGACACCTAAAAAATTAGCTAGCATTTGTTGCCCTTAATGCAGAGAAACTAATGCAGATACCTTAAAAGCAACTGAGGCCAATAGGAGAAGGGGACCAGGAACTAGAGAAAAGGTTAGATCAAAAAGAATTAACCTAGAAGGTAACACCCACGCACAGGAAATCAATGTGAGTCAACTCCCTGTATAACTATCCTTATCTCAACCAGCAAAAACCCTTGTTCCTTCCTATTATTGCTTATACTCTCTCTTCAACAAAATTAGAGATAAGGGCAAAATAGTTTCTGCTGGACATTGAGGGGGTGGGGGGAAGAGGGAGGGGGCGGAGTGGGTGGTAAGGGAGGGGGTGGGGGCAGGGGGGAGAAATGACCCAAGCATTGTATGGACATATGAATAATAAAACAATAAAAAAAATGTTTAAAGTAAATTGTAATTGTGTTCTAAAACAAGGAAGGAAGGAAGGAAGGAAGGAAGTGAGGGAGGGGGAAGGAGGGAAGGTGGGAGGGAGGAAGATGTAGTGTAAGAACTTTTGTAAATGTCACAATATACCCCCAGTACAGCAATAATAAGATAATAAAAAATAAATAAAAAAAAAAACCAAACTAGTAAAACTTTCTCCTTTGTTCTTTATCCTACTAGGGTCTTAAGTCAAACTCAGTACTGCTTTAGAAAATATTTTGATACCTGGATTCAGTCATTCTGGAAGATATCAAAGTTGATTTCTGGTTTAAATTACTTCGGTAGGTAATTTGAGAGGATGGAATTTGGCTTGGCTCAAAAACTCCTTATAAAACTATATACTGGAGTTGAGTTCAGGATTTAATAAATTAATGTGTGTTGTTCTGGGTTTTTTGTTGTTGTTGTTATTGTTCATAAATCATTTTGGCTTAAGGCACAAAATTGGAATGATAAAAAGCAATTCTAACTTGTTTGACTAAGGCCAAGACAATCAAATCAATTCATGTGATATTTTCCAAAAGTACATATGGGCTTGGGGTCCACCCATCTATAACTGGGCCAAAATCAGACTAAAGGAACAGTCTGAATTATCTTCCTACTGCCAAGATAAATGGGAAAAATAACAATCTAATTTCCAGGCAATATTCCAACATCTACAAACTTAGGCTTTCTAAACCATAGGAAGTCAAGGTTCTAAAGGACTTCATTTTATGAAGTGATTGATGACCAGAAACCAAAAAGTCACATTTTATGTCATAATGAAAGCCACTACTTTGTTCAATTAATTTTTAAAGGAATTCACATTTTAATATGAGGCCAATGAGCAATGCAAAGTTGTAATTCCAAATGGTAAAAAAACATATATAGCCATTGTCCCAACATCCAGTAATTTTAGCATATACACTTAAGGAATAAAAGGGACCTGATTGGGCATGTACCTTTTGATACATAATTAAGATAATCAAAATAAATTGAAAAGAATTTGAATATCAGAGGTGGAGGGAGTCTTGAAAGAGCCAGATCAGAAAGTATTTCCCATCTTCATACACAGTTAATCATTAATTCGTGGTCACCAAACTGTCTTCACAAATTTGGGTATTCCATTTATTTTTGTGAAAAGTCAACTGGTAATGTGGAAGTCCTATTATCTATCTACAGAATAAATGTCCAGGTAAATTGTTTAAGTCTAATGAGACATCGAAAATCAGAAATGATCAGTGGAAATTTTTAAACCTTTTATCCTGGCTGCTGTGGGACCCAGATGGCAGATGAGCTGCATGTTATTCAAAGGCTAACCAGGCACTTAATGAATGAACTCCAACTTCCTCCCTCTAATCAATCTTGTCCCCATTCTTCCCACTCTGAACTTTTCCCAAACATGCTATGCCATGTTCTCCCATGCCTCCATGCATTTGTACACACTTTCCTTCTGCCTCTGACCCCTTATTCATCTTTTTCCATCTCCCAATTTCCCCTTAAATGTTAGCTCCAGTGTCTCCTTCTCAAGACATTACTCTAGGCTGAGCTGAGTTACCTGCAAAGGCAGTTTAATTTCCCTCTACACATCTTACAGTAGTTACACCTTTCACTCCCTAATTACTTGCTTTTGCATGCCACATCCTTCAATGGACTGTGAATCTGCATAAGAAATGAGTATCTTTAAAGTACCTAGACAATGGTATACAGTGGGAATGTCAGCTAAGGATGGAGACTAAAGGAGCATGCTACTTGGTGGAATAATACAGGAGATGGCGCCTACCCACGGCTGAGAGACTACAACTGGATAAAAGCAGACAAAGCCAACAGGTCCCCAGGAGAACAGGATTAGAATTAAAAAGTGGAAAGATGCAGGCTAGAGAAAGTTGAAAGCAAATATGCCACAGTTATACAGTGATTTTTGAAAACTCAAGGTCAACATGAGAGACAACCTTAAGTCAGTAGGAGGAGAAAAATGAGCTTTCACTGAAATATGAACTATGTATAAATAGCTATCTTCAGAGCTATTATGAAAAAAGAAACAAATTATTTTCATTTTCAAGTGGGCCTACTGGTTATTCTTGACAAGGATAATTTTACTCTCTAAATTGCCTTAATAGGTAAACAGCAAACATCTTCACTCGATTCCTACTGCCAACTGTAATTACGAGTCATTCTAGCTCTCTGCTAACCCCCTAATAGTGATGTACAGAGAAGTACCCACATCAGCTGCTTTTCCAAACAGCAATCACATCACAGCCTATTCTTAGCTGCACTGAAGAACTGGTAATTTCACCATTAAAGAAAAACACATTAATTCTCATTCCCTGATTCCACTGAATTACCCTGTGCTGGAGTCAAAATAGAATTTCCTCTGGGACTGCTGCCTTTGCAGTTCTTCCATTGAATCCACAGGCTCATACTCTTCAATTCTGGATAACGAGCCATTCTGCCGCTGCAAAAAGCCAAAGGTCACCTGAAAGCTTGTGTTTGAGGGATAGCAGAGGCCAACTCGAATCCAGTCATTCCTTCAAAGAGCAGACAACAAAATAATTAATTCACACTGGAGCTAATATTTTGAGTACTGCTGCACATATAAATTTCAACCATCATTTCCTCCTCCTTAGTCAGCACAATGCTCTAAGGCAGGATTGGGAAATGCGTCGGGCACTCCTCTTCCCTCTTCCACCTCTTGCTCTCAGCAGATACTACTAATCAGTTATACCACTTTCTTCTGTCAAGTCTAAACAGGACCTCAAAAATCTTTTAATTTATCAGATGGTCATTTGGAAAGCTCTATAAAACTTCTTCCCAGCCCAGCTACAGGAAATCAAAGTATTCAGCAGACTGTATTAAAAGCTACTGTTTGGTCTGGGGTGTAGCTCAGTGGCGGAGTGCTTGCCTGGCATGCATGAGGTCCTGCATTTGACCTCAGGCACCACAGGGAAAAAAACAAGTCCTGCTGGGGTGGGGGGACTAGGTGAAGGGGCAAGGAAGTGGGGACAGTGTGTGGGAGGGTGAATATAATGAAAATACTGTGTGCACATGTATGTAAATGGAAAAATGAGAGCTGATGAAATTATTCCAGGAATGGGGGAAGGAAGGATAAAGGAGAATGGTGGAGGGGATGAATTCAAGTATGATATATTTAATAAATTGTAAAAACTTTTGTAAGCCACAATGTACTCCCAGCACAAAATAAATAAGAAACAAATGAATAAAAAATTCCTTTAAAAAACAAAAACTCTATGGCTGAATAACTTTCTAAACAGAATACTTTGGCCATAGAGAAAAAAGCAATGCTTTTACAAATGACAGGCTCAATTTGCATAATCTCTTAGTTCCATCAACACAGAATAATATAGTCTCCTCACAAGAGGAACATGAAACTGGCATTCCTGCTAGGAAGGAGATATGTTATCCTTTTTCTCCACTGAGTCACTACTTACTCAACTGTTTGAACTAACAGTAATAGAAACATACTTGTTGAAGTTTACAAGGTATAGAAAAGTAGTCCGTGGCGCTGGCCCATTCCAGTGGATGGTATAGCCCTTCTCCAGCATGACAACAGGTTGGTACTGTGGAAATGTAGCCCTCTGGTTAATTCCCCGAAGTACCATAGGGTGGAATGGATATTCATCTCGAGTGATGGTCATACTAAGATTCGGAGTACTCCATGTCTGTACATAGATCTTAAAAAAAATAAAATCAGAATTAAAGGAGAATAAAAGTTTAATTAGCTAAACAAACTTTTCCAGTATGAAGTCAAGAGTCTCTACTTTGAAAAGAGATTCCGTGATCTGTGCCAGACTAAATGAGCAGCAGCCTACTACATCCTAAGCTATACTTAACGATGCAGCCTGCTTAAAGCAGACATGGCAAAAACAGACCCTTCATTCTGCTAGCCAGGATCTTCATCATCAATTCCACCACCACAGGCCAGTGCATTCATCAGAATATAAAACTTCTGTGGCTTACAGAGCTTGTCAAAGAAATCCCTCAATCTGAAGAACACACATACAAAAAAATAATAATAGGCAACTAATGTGAAAATGGATATCCCTGTAGTCAAATCTAAGAGACTTTCCTCTAAACCAAAAGATTGGAAAATTTATATATCTTAGAGCTTTGGCTTTCAATTTTCCATGACCTACATTAGCCCAAGAAGTCATTTTTTACCCATTCAAAAAAAAAAAGTTATAAAGCACCCTCCAGCAACTGGAAAAACATATTAAACTGAAACAAACTTGAAAGTCCTGAATTTATTCCAGTGGCATTTGAGCCACATTCCATGTCAAAGCAAAACCATCCACAAATGCATCCTCCAAAACTGACCTCAGAACAATTTCCTAAGACAAGTAAGTACCCAGTAATTAAACTCTCTAGAATTAAAATATTTGCAGAATATTGACATTTAATCCATAATACTTCTGGATTTTTCTGATTGTTTCTATAATATTATCCATATTGGCTCCTCAATAATGTTCTTAGAGTCAGAAAGTCTTTTTTTTTAATTTTTTTTTTTTATTCATATGTGCATACAATGCTTGGGTCATTTCTCCCCCCTCCCCCCACCCCCTCCCTTACCACCCACCCCACCCCCACCCCACCCCTCCCTCTCCCCCCAACCCCCTCGATACCCAGCAGAAACTATTTTGCCCTTATCTCTAATTTTGTTGGAGAGAGAGTATAAGCAATAATAGGAAGGAACAAGGGTTTTTGCTGGTTGAGATAAGGATAGCTATACAGGGAGTTGACTCACATTGATTTCCTGTGCATGTGTGTTACCTTCTAGGTTAATTCTTTTTGATCTAACCTTTTCTCTAGTTCCTGTTGCCCTTCTCCTATTGGCCTCAGTTGCTTTTAAGGTATCTGCATTAGTTTCTCTGCGTTAAGGGCAACAAATGCTATCTAGTTTAAGTGTCTTACCTATCCTCCTATCTCCCTTGTGTGCTCTCGCTTTTATCTTGTGATCAAAGTCCAATCACCTTGTTGTGTTTGCCCTTGATCTAATGTCTGCATATGAGGGAGAACATATGATTTTTGGTCTTTTGGGCCAGGCTAACCTCACTCAGAATGATGCTCTTGGAGTCAGAAAGTCTTAAACTTCATTCATGTTTGACACCAATTAAAAATTTAAACTGGAGATAGGGAACATACTTTTTAAGACTTCTGGTTGTCTTCATTTAACACACATTTAATGTATTACATATTATTTTCTTAAGTATTAACATTTAACATATATTTAATGTATGTGTGTGTGAGTATGTATCAGAGAAAGAGAGATTGACAAATATGGCCCCTCCCCCCACCCCTGCCCAAGGAGAGGTAGTACATGGAACCTTCATTCTCTTCCAGAGCACCTCTGTCCCTCAAGTCACTACTTGATCTTGAGAACCAGTTGCTTCCACCATTTGCCCTCAAACGTATACTGCATTATTTCTAAGTAACAGTAAATGGAACCAGATTTGGGCTTCTAGCCCAAATTCTAAATACTCAATTTCTGACCTGTGGTTCACCATCCCTCTGTTTCATGGGAAGTATTAAATCATTCCTTTCTTCATCTACAAATAAAATAAAATTACTACTCTGCTTTGTAAGGTAGAAAGATTAGGTTCACATCTCAAATAACATTAGAAATCCAATGGACTAAGTAATTTAGAGAAAATGTTGAATAAAAACATATGCATAACAATTATAATTAGTGATTATAATTTCTGGAAGTATGAGGTATTATAATGATATACTTTACAGATAGATTTATAATAATTTAAAAATATACAGAAGTTTCATTAGTGAACATCTACCATTGTTAAGACAGACAACAGACAGGTACACACACTCAAAAATAGCAAGAAATTTAATGAAAACCTCAGCTACAATAAGACTAAAGGCTTTTTAATTTGGTTTTTTGTTTCAGTTTTAATTCTAGAACATCTATAGAGTCTATGTATTGAAGGGTAATCTTAATTTGATGAGGGGACAATTCCAATTAAGAATAAAATAAGCGGGGGGAAAAATCATATTTTAAACCACTTTCTTTTCTTCTTTATTATATTAATTCTTTATCCCCTCCTTGTCCCCCCAGGACTTCGTCACATATTAGTTGGTTTTTTTGTTGTTGTTGTTGTTCACAGGAATGTGAAATCCACAACAAAGAAGCTAATGCCCCATTATTAACATAAATAAGAAATACTATCAAGTTAATATCTCTTAAGCCCCTTCTTGTCTATAGATAAGAATCTGAACATCTTCAAAGTTTTTAGATTTTTTGTTCATTTGTTTGAACATCAAGTTGCATTTGGGGCAATTTAATATATTGTGACAGGGAGACCCCAGCTGACATCTGAAGAGGGGATGGCATGATTTTGGAGAAGGTGAACTCTGGAACCAAGCTCTTGTGATCTTGTCTTAACACCTAGAAACTGTGGCCTTTGGCCAGTGAACAATTCTCTACGAATGTCAATTTCTCCCTAGTGTGGTAGATGTGCCAATGATCCCCATTCCTTGAAACTTTCTGGACGGCTCACCAATGATCTTGCTGGTATGTGATGCCTGGGGAAGTCTCGAGTTAGAGAGACCAAACTAAGTCCTCCACCCAGTATTTCTAGGTTCTTGTCCCCATCAGAGGAAGAATTTGGGGATGTGACAAAGCAATGAATTGGGAGGTAGTCTTATCATAGGTTGAAAGCAAACACTCAAGAGGGAGTGCACATTCCTCAAGAGAAAGTTGTCAAAAGTTTTTTAGTTTAAGAGTATCATTCTTTTTAACAGTTATGATTTAAGTCAGAAGAGTAATGAAGAATTCTGCTCTAAAATATACCAACTAAATAAGGCCAAAGGAGTAAAAACCACATGATCAAACTCAGGGGCTCAGAGAAATAACAAGCAGGGCACACAAACACATGCTTGATGGGCTAAATAAGCAGAGATCAATGGATGGGACTGATCACAGCACTGTTCTTCCTCATGAAGATGGGACAGGGTCTTGAACTCCTATCTTAGACTCCTGAGTGCTGAGATTACAGGCATGTACCATCATGCCCAAGTTTAACAGTCTCTTCTTAAATCCTACTTTTGCTAACTAAAATGTGGGGGAAAAAACCTGCCCCTTCAAAATTCTGGGCAATTGACACCTCCATTCTGTAATCAATTCCATCCACCCAAATCTCACTATCAAATCTTTGGGACGTAGATCCCTGCCTCTCAAATAGCAGTAAGCACTTTATCATGTGCCAGGCCACAAGATAAATGCATTGTATGAATGCATTCTGTCATCACAACAGCCTCAGAGGAGAAGAACTATCATTTATCCTTAATATACTCGGGCTCAGAGTACTTTTAACTTGTTCAACTCACATTTTAGGAAAATAACAAAACTAGAATTCAAATCCAGGCAGTCTGGCTCCAGAGTCTGTGCTCTTACCTATACAAACTACCTTGCAAATTAGCCTTTTATTCTGGGCATCTGGTTGAAATGCACACTATCTCAATGATTTCAAAGAGGTGTTTCCAAGTCTACACCATTCTTCATATCTTCACAGACATTATATCATAATATAATCAGAATTTCCTTGGATTCCTTACAAGTCTACTCATTTCCAGTTCCCAAATCCCTCCCTGAGAACACCTCAGTTTCCATATGACCTACTGAAACTCTGTCTGGGAAGTCATATTCTCTAATGAAATAGACATAATGATCTTGAAAGCAAAGGACAAAACTCCCTCTAAGTGGACACAGGTGCACTGTGGCAAGAAAATACAGGAATTAAGAAATGTGGGTTTTGATTCCAACTACATCCAAGCCAAATTTAACCAAGGGAAGATCATATCCCCACTCTGTGACTCACTTTTTCACCTGTTAAATTGGTTTGGGGGAAGAGTTTTCAGTAAAATTCTCAATTTCTTTCCTTTTTTTTTTTTTTTTTTTTAAAGAAAAATCATGTTTAGGAAAGCACCCATCACCCTGAGAAGATAAAGAGTCCTCTTCATAGAAGTAAAGCTGTAGGGGCTCAGGTATCAGGCTGCCTGCTGGGCCTACCTGGGCATAGGTCCCACTGCAGACCACTGCATTCCACCTGGTAATGTTGACACAGTTTGGATGCCGGATAAGGTAGTTGTCCATCCTTCCCACATAAGAGTCCTTGTATCCTGTCACAGAGCCATCAACATCATGGAATATGGCATTCTTATCACCGTCCAACTCACAATCTTCAAACCAGGGACCAGGCTTTCCAAAGAATACATTCAGAGAGACCTAATAGTGGTAAAAACCAAGGACATCACAAAATGAAGGCTACTACCAACTTAGTCAACATTCCCTCTAAGAACTCAATCACACACCTATCACAACTACTTTACAGTTATATCAATTCATTGTTGTCAACTATGGTGCCCAGTCAATCAGAGTTTTCTACTCAATTAAGGACATGTTTGGGAAAAAATTTCTAAAACCTTATGAAGCTCAATTGGCAAATGTTAAGTCTCATCTTTATTTTTCTTTATATTTCACTTAAAAAATAATTTTTTTTTATTTTATTCTGACAAAACTAATCTATGGTAAGAGAAAACAGAATAGGTGGGGAAAGGCAAACTGTGCTCATGTATGTTTAAAAATTATAAACTGTACACATAAGATCTGAACATTTCCTTGTATGTAAATTATGCCTCAATTAAATAAAAATCTTTAGACGTATAGAGCTCATTATTTTATTCCACTCCAAACGTTTTGATTGCCTGTTCATATGACTCCCGCCAAAAAATAAGTACAGTTCAAAACTGATACACGATGTCAATGTTGGCTTAGTATGACTGGATTACTGCTGAAATCACTAGAATTTGCTGAAAAGTATGTTGCTGTTTATAAAGGGGAGCTGTGTGTGGGGGCGGGGACTAGTGCATGAAAGATGGGGAAAGGAAGAGGGTGACAGACGAGTGAATATTGTAGAAGTATATTTTATTTTTATATATATGTATATGTACGTATGAAAATAGCACAATGACACCCACCAAAAATTGTTTAAAAGGAGGGGGAGAGGAAAAGTTAGGTTAAGAAAGAGTAATATCGATGGTGTGAATTTGATCAAGACACATTATATGCATGTTGTAAATATCACAATGAAACCCCTTTATACAATTAATTGATGCTAATAAAAATATTTTAATTGAATTTAAAGCCTTCACTAAGAACTACAGGTTAGCTTCGTGGCAGAATGCTTGCCTAGCATGTGCAAGACCCTGGGTTCAATCCCCAGCAATGCAAATAAATATATAAACAAATAAAAAGTAAAATAAAGCCTTTACAAAACACATTATACCCAGCTATGGAAAAGACTGTAGGTGATACTGTTTACTTTTTAGCTATTTCTTACTAGTGGAAATAGGCCACCATAGACACAGCTCCAAAATGCTTCTATGTACTCATTACTCAGGGACATGTGTCAATCAACAGAACATCTAAATGTTAATCCACTCCATGAAAGCTGTGATGCTTAGAGCCAAGTGGCTCTAGGTTCTCAGTTCTACTGTTTTCTTTTCCCTTGTAGCTAAATCTACAAAAGTTGGGGGCATATTTCCTACCTTTTTAGGTAGAACAAATTTGGCATAGCGTTCCCATTACAAACTATTCCCACAGCCTCATCACCATAGAAAAGTTCAGGCTGGATAAACCACTGGACTTAAAGCAGTATGGATTCCCTCATGCGGTTGTAACATTAGGACTCAAACAACGAATGCAGCATTTACCAAACTGCTTCTCAGTATGCCCATGTCAGTGGTCCCTAAACCCTATGCCCAGAGGACAATGGGAGGTCCTTGTGGAAGGAGTAAGATCACCCTGGAGAGGTGGTCTAACTCAGTCCTACAGGTCTAGGGATGTAGCTGATGTTGCATGTACCTAGGACATGCAAGGCCCTGAGTTCTATCCTAAGCTCCTCAAAAAATAAAAATAACAAAATCCTGTCCAATTTATTTAGATGGGAAGCCATCTACTAATCTAGCCCTACCCCTCCCTTGGTGCCATGTGGCCTGAAAGAGAACGAGTAACCAAGCTGGCATCCTAATTTGTACCTGTGCCTTGGTTCCATACATTAGCTGTTCGAGAAAACATGATATCAACTTTAATAAACCTATATAAAGCTCTATTTTAAACTGGGTAACCACCAAGTTTGTATGAAGATACGAGTGAGCTAGAAAGCCTGTGGTGGGGGAGGGTCTCTCTCTCTCTCTCTCTCATGCCACTGCCAGCACAGAACTGGCAAGATGGAAAAAGTACAGGCTGCTAATCAGATTGTCTTCTGTATTATGGGTAAAGAAGGTAATGGTTAAACTGCTAGGAAACCTACTTTGGTTTGCTGTACTGCAAACAATAATTTTAAGTCTTCTTCATAAAAACCATCCAACAGTTTACGTCAGAACTCATTTTCTATCACACTACCCCAGCATTCCTCTTCATTCACAACTCCTTATCACCCAAGAACAACTTCAGACAAAATACCAGGAAGGAACCAAATCTCTTAGTGGAGATGGAGCTACCTTCCCCGCTTACTATACTGAACTTCCCAAAACCCTATGTCCTCTTGTTCCTGTGAGCCTGATCAGTGTCCCTGTATCATTCTTTTAAGTTATTTTCCTGCTCAAGACAACACTTGAATGTCAAAAACAGCCCAAATCACAGGGGACTTCACCTTTGAACCCAATGGAACAGAGGGCATGGGTTTGGGAATAGCTATTGTATGTTTTTCTCATCCATCACAGACAGTGCTAATCCTTTGTGCTTTTGCCTTTGTAAACATGCTATATCCCTCCTCCTCCCACCATAACCATTGCGTAGGAGTCATAAGAACACACTCACATGTGGGCCAAACTTCACAAGGGAAACATTGTTCCTGGGGGTCATCTGCCAGGAATTCTTCATGAGGAAGCCAATCGCACTGCTGTACCTTTCAGGAGTGGGCACATATTTTTTGAAAGTGCTTCTGGTGAGATGAATGGGTCCATCATAAATTTGAAAGCCTCTAATCGGGAATGTCCTGTTAAAATACATGATTTTGTTTAATGCTATGTGTCTGTCTCCTTAATAGCATTTACTTTTTTATAAACACTGCTAAATATCCAGGTAAGCAGTAAGCAAAATTCCAGGAAACATTGGTCACCAAGACAAGATTCCAGATGGAAGGAAACATACACTGTAGTGTGAAAGGCAAATTTTTTTAAAAAAAGATAGAATTCAGAGAATTGGTACTAGGGAGACAGTAAGTCATTGTAATACAATAGATTGAGTGGAGAAATAGATGGTTTTCTGTTTTGTTTTTTTTTTCTGATGGTACATGATCTTGAATTCAGGGACTCATGCTTACTAGGAAGGCGCTCTGCCACTTGAGCCACTCAGCCAATGAGATGCTCTTTTGGATAGAACAGAATCCTCTCTAAAAAGATAGCTTTAGCTTTTTAAAATCAATTCAGTTAAGATGCTTTATTTGAGGTCGGGGTTGTAGCTTAGTTGTAGAGCAATTGCCTAGGACGCACAAGGCCCTGGGTTCTATCCCAGCACTGCCAAAACTAAAAATAAATGTTTTACTCAGTAACTCATTTACTTGAGTTTTAGTTCCAAAATCTCTAGCCCAGAGAACAAAAGGCAAATCTGTGTATAAGCAGAAAGAATATCCTCTCTACAGAGCACCTGCCTAGGAAACATGAGGCCCTGAGTTCAAACCCCAGTACCACCAAAAGAAAAAAAATAAATAAATAAACCTTCCTTTTCAGCCATAGATGCACTAAAGGACAGTAAAAAGGTGAAATGACACACTTACAAGCGTTAAAGCAGTCCTCAAGACTCACTCTGTCACAAGTGCTAGCTAGATTGAGAATTTCACTATATTCATTTTCCTTTCTTCTTAGCCATCATAAATTACTAATCAGAGTTACGTATAAATCCTGTAATATTCTGAATTTCCTAGGTTTCTTCACCTATTAATTTTTTAATGATATTGCAGAGGATTTCTATAGCAGCTACTTAGTTTGCAACTTAGCAGTGTTTTACAATAGAAGCATATAAATTAGCAAAAAAAAAAAAACCAAATTGCCTGGTTGAAAAATCTATGCATTATGATATGTTTCTAAATATACAAATCAAAAAAGTTTAACTGGAGGCATGGCTCAAGTTTGCCTCACAAGTGCAAAGCCCTGAGTTCAAACTCCAGTACTACCAAAAAAATAAAACAAAATAATGCATAGATCAAAATGTTTCGCCCTCATGAAAAAAAATTGCAAAGATATAGTAGAATAAGACTAGGTTCATTAATCAGTGAAAAAAATTACTGGAAAACCTTCCTTAATGAAGAAACAATAAGCATTTTGAAATAAAACTTGAAGTCAATATAAAATAAAAAGAATAGAATTGAATTGGCCATCCTCATACTGCAGCCCATGCTACAACCTGTACAGCTTCTTTTTTGGGGGGAAAGGGGGTCTGAAAAGATAGGGTTTTAGTACATAGCCCAAGTTGGACTCAATCTGGAGGGCTTCTTTCCTCTGCCTCCCAAGTGCTGGGATTATAAGCCTGTGCTGCCATTTTTGGCCTAGCTTTTTCTTTTTGAAAACCTACACCATTAGGAGAAAAAACTAAGTATAACTGTGAAGAACACAGCATTTAACCTAAACTAACTGGATTGTTAAACAGAAGGATGGCAGTATGTATCTTATTGTGCTTTGTGAAGATTAAATGAATATAAAATACTTGGAACACGGCCTGATAAGCATTTAATAAATGTCAGCTATCCAAAGTTCTTGAAGTAGAGCTGGGGCATACCTCAGCGTTAAAGCACTTGCCTTGTATACATGAGGCCCTCCCCAAAATGCAAAAAAAAATTAAAAAGAAAGAAAAAATTCATGAGGTTCTTTTCCCAGTGGCTTCTATGGTCTAGCTGGAGTTCTAACCAGAGGTAGCAGTGTACACTGATGCTCAATATTCTGCAATGCCAAACACAGGGGCAGAGAAGCCAAGCTATGTAACCTTCTGCCAGAAACCAGTAACACTAACAGTCTGCTTCATCCCAGCCCACAGTCCAGAAAGGGCATCCCTTAAGGAGCTGATTCTCAATAAATTGTGGCATAGGCTCAGAAGTGAGGTCTTAGAACATGGTTTGGTTTTTCTCATATATAAAATGAGGACAACTCCAAACTGAGTCTTCCAACTGAGGTATGAACTGATGAATTAACACCTCCCTAAAATTTCTGAAGGATCTTTCTAGTATAAGTCCTGGTTTTCTTTTTTTTTTTTTTACTTTTTATTTATTAGCATTATAGTTGTACCAGGGATACATTGTGAAATTTACAAAAGCGCTTACAGCATATTGTATTAGATTCACTCCCTCCATCTTTCTCCTTTAACCCCTCTTCCTCCTTTCTTAGAAAGTTTCAACAGGTCTCACTGTTCCATTTTCATACATGAAAACACAGTACTTTTGACATATTTGCCCTCCTTCACTCTTTCCTTATGCCCTCCCCCCTGCTCAACCCCCAGACAGGACCTGCATTACCTTCCTTTATTATTTTGTTTTGTTTTTTTAAAAACAAAAAGACAGTTTTGTTTTTTTATGATGGTAATACAGGGAGTTTCACTGTGACATTTCCTTATATATACATATGTATTATGCCCTGAATTAGTTCATCCCCTTTATTATTCTCCTTTCTAACTTGGTGATTTCAACAGGTTTGAATGTTCCATAAGTCCTGTTTTAAGGACTCTGATTTTGTTGATTAAAAAAACCATGCTGAAAGCCTTCCCCACCTCCTCCACCATCTAAAACCCTGCCAATGGCACAGCCCCGTCAGCTTTGGCACCAATCAACTCTCATTTTCTAGAACTCTTTTCAGTAGGTAATTTCCTTTTTCCAGTGGCTATTTCTGAAAACCAACATCACGAATTGAGGGAAAACTGACCTAATGTCATAGTTTATGGTTTGGCAACTTTCTATGTCTCAAGAAAGAAAAAAAGAAAAGAAAACAAAACAAAACAAAAAAATACCAGTTTATATAATAAAGGTCTTACTTACGGAATAAGAAGTAAGAACAGCTTCTTTGTTATAAAACTGAGGATGAAATCAATGGAATGGTTAACTATTAATGCTCCAAAGTTCCATGAGGATAATACACATAATAATAGTTGTAGTAGTCAGATAGGAAAAGAATCACAATAGGAGTCAATCTATCCAGGATTATTATAGAAACTTCCATGGAAGTTAGGTTTTCCTTTAATTTCTTAAGTTTAATATTCTAGTGCCAGAGTAACACTTACTTGTTCCTAGGTAACGTCCGAGGCTTTTGGTCTAGTCCTCCAATGCCTACATACTTGTTCTGACCACCCTGAGAGCCAAAATTCCTGCTCTCTCCAACGAAGAGAGACTCCGACACTTCCTGGCTAGAACCTTCATCACTCGGGAAGCTTCCATCACTGTTAAAATGAAGATGGTCATTAGACGCACTTCTTTAGGAAATTTAAATTTACTTCCCCAAAGATGGCAAGCTACAATTGAAAAAAAATCCAACAAACTTTAAAAACCCACTGCCTTTTTCTAATATACAGTATCAAGTCCTCAGAAATTGCATTTAAATTGTGAAAATACATCTTACAAATTAATAAACACCTTGTAAAATATATGTGAACATACAAAACTTAATTTAGGAGCAATAGCTGATTAGTTTCAGCAATAATATTGCAAATGCTAATGAACGTCCCAGAACGAGCAATTAAATGACAAGCACATTTAACATAGCCCTTAGAATGATTATTATTCAGATAAAAATATGAGAAGAGTAGTTCTTAAAGATCATTGATAATCTAAGAAGAGTTTGTCTTGAATCTTCTCCCTATGACTGTCTTTTAACCCTTAGTTTTTAAGAACGTTAATCTAAAACTCAAGTGTCTTCTTCTAAGCAAAGTTTACAATAGGTCTACCCTTCTATGGAATTCCAGCTAAATTAACCTAGTACTTTGGTATGAATTCAGTCAATAAAAACATGGTTTCGGACCCCTAATGGTATCAAGGATGCTAATGTGGGGGGGTTGGTAACTGGAGTTTGAACTCAGTCAGGACTTCAGGCTTGCTAGGCAGACACTACCATTTGAACCATACTTCCAGCCATTTTTGTTCTGATTATTTTGGAGCTAGGGTCTCACTTTTTGCCCAAGCAAAAAGTGCTGGCCTTGACTGAGATCTTTCTGATTTACACTTCCTCCCATTGCTGGGATAAAAGGCGTGCCCCACCCTGCCAATCTATTGGTTAAGATAGGGGGGTCTTATGAACTTTTGGTTCCAAATCCCCCAAACCACAATCCTCCCCATCTCAGCCTCCCAAGTAGATAGGATTGCAGGCATGAACCACTGGCTTCAGGATGCTAATTTTTTAACACTAATAAAGTATTAAACATTCTAGTGGGTTACGCACCCTCCCCCCGCCAAAAAAAAAAAAAGCAAGGGTAGTTTTACCTTATAGCTTTAAAATAATCAAATATTTTTAAGTCATTACAAACCTAGCAAAGGTCAATCCTATTCCATTATCTGCAAATCTGTAAGACAAAAGATAATGAGAAACATTTTAATCATCACATCATATAAAAGATAATTCTCTCTTAATATAAGAGTATGAAATCCCAGTGTTTACTCTTTCCAAACACACAAAAGTACAACTTCATGGTAACTAAAGCACAGACTCCACAGCAAAGGTAGCTGTTCAAATCCTGACTGTCCCAATTATTAGCTGTATGACTTTGGGTAAGTTATTCCTTCAGCTTTCTCCTTTATAACTCGACACAGTAATATAATCTTCCTCATGGGATTCTGGAAAGCATTATATGTCCTAAATAGTTTCAAGTACTCGGAACAGTGCAGTATACAGAATCCAGCACATACGTGCTAGTTAAAAATCATTATTTTTTATAATTTTTTTAAAGAAACAATTAGATCATGCTATTCACTTCAAAACTTCTCCAAAAGATACCTACACCACTTCTATAGATTCAACACAGCATCAGTTTTCTGGATGATAAAAGTCACAGATAATGGTGAAATGCCACAAAGCTAATGAGCAGTACCAGAAAAAAAGTCTAAGCCTTTCTTCTGGACTGCTAAACACCAAATCACAGCTCAACATGTGTCAAGTTTCTCTTAAAATCATACAAGTGGAAAAAAAATTGAAGTGAGATGCTTCCTGCCTCAAGTCATGGTAAGACACAAGTCAACAGACTTCCTAAGGTGGAATTATACAACTTTTGTTTTGAATGGCAGTGCAAGAAAATTAGCAAAACTTCAAGGAGTTTCCAAGAGGAAGAAAAAAAATCCAGGTAGTTTCAAAATCTTTATTTAGCTCTCTGACATAGATCGTGTGTGGTATTTAAAGTTAAATTCCCAGTTTCTATTCAGTCTCATCAAAAACTCTCATTTCACTAGACAAGTTCACTTCCAATAAAAGCACCAGAATGAGACAGTTCCAAACATTTGCAGTCTGGTAATTCTAGCATACTTCCTCAGAGCTCATCCTGTCTTATTAAAAATAATAATAATAATATGATTCCAGGAACCACCAATGTACTTTCACTCTACTTGGTTTTTTTTTAAAATCTTTAAAAAAATAAACACTTCAATGTCATCAGGTTATATAACTTTGTAGAAAATACTCACGCTGAATTCTGAACAATAATGTCACCTCCTCTGATCCAGGCTCCCTTATCGTTATTTTTAAAAGCAATGAGCCTGTCAATTATAGCAGCAACACGTGGCTTTTCAGGGTCTGCATCCTGATGAGGCCGAAACCTGGGTGGTTAGAAAAGGGTTTTTTTTCAATTAAAAAGTGATTTAAAAAAATTGAAATTGGCTATTTATAATTATAAGCTAAAGTGTCAAGAACCAAGATTTAAATTTGGCCAAAAAAACTTAAGGCACAACTTAATTATTCACATATCAAATATTCAAAGAAAAGGATACCAGTGGGAGGGGATAGGATATAAGGAAAGGGTGAAGGAGGCTGAATGTAATGAAAATATTATGTATAAAAATGGAAAAACGAGAACTACTGAAACTATTCTAGGAATAGGGAGAGGGGAATAAAGGAGAATGACAAAGGGGATGAATTCAACTATGATATATTTTAAGAACTTTTGTAAATGTCACAATGTATTCCCAGTACAACAATTTTTAAAAAAGGAAAGGATTACATTTATATACAAGCTTCCAGAGAAATGCTTTCATATCTTATTTTTTTAACAAAGTCAGCTTATAGAATGGATACTATAGAATATTATAAACTCAAAAAAAAATTCTTTAAAAAAATACTCACACCAGGAAATCTAGCACATCTTATATTACATGCTATTGACATAAACTTACTGCAAAAATTAATCATATATTTCAACATAACTGCATGTGATATATGGGTCTGAGTCGTATGCTATTAATTTTAACTTAACTATAGAGACAAAACTGAACCTGTAGCTTGAAAATGCCTACACTTAAAATAGGTTTTACTTAATTCTCTTACTTATTATGAAGACTGGATTTTGCCTTTTCTTTCTCTTTGTACTAAAACATTTACAAGGACCTTAAAGAAAATAAAAAATTGGGGGTCAAAAACTTAAACCAACTCAAATAATCTCCTTAGGCCACGCCCTCACTATCCTTTGCACAATGCTACTAGCATATTTGCTGATGGTAGATGCTCGCTAAGTAGCATGATGGGAGAAGCAGCTCAGGAGCAAGAACAGCCGGTACAAATGTCCTCAGGTATGAGTGGAGTTCAGCACTCCACTGCAAGCAAACTGGGTGAAAAGCAAAAGCAAGGCAGGTAAGAAAGAGAAGCAGCAAGCATGTGGTTCTTTATTCGAAATGCAATGGGAAGTCAACAGACACAGAGAATCAGGAAGTCTTTTCCCCAAAGCTCACTGGCTGCTATTTGGAGAATGGGTTCTAAGAGCATTCTGGAGGCTCTTTATGTACATGAGGCAGATGCTGGTGGTACAAAGTGGGGTGAGCAGTGGGGATAAAGGGTGTTACGCTCATCCTTAGAATACATGACCCAGGACCCTTATATAAGTAGGTCTGACGTAAGGGTAAAAAAGTCTAACTCTAAGCCAACACCTACTCTTCTGGCACTGTACTTACTGCCAAATAACTTTGCTGTCATTACACAGTATGTATCAGTCAGACAGAAAAGTTCTGGAAAGGAAACTACACAATGTTTTAAGTGAAGGCAAAAAGAAAAGAAAAAAAAAGTAACATAAAACAACACCCAACTCTGTGCTACAGCTAACTCATCTTTGCAGAGCTTGCTATCCATAAAATTCAACTACTGACCATTTGCCTTGACACCCTTTCTTTTCATCCTCTTTTTTAACTTGCTATATAGAAAATACGGTTAATTACCCTAGTTTTCCATCATCATCTGTATGATTTCAGTACACTTCCGAACCCTCGGGTAACTGTCCTCTGTTGCGTAGTACTAGTTTGTTATAATGCTTTTTTTCTTTTTAGATGAGCTTTTCCAACTTCAAACTAAGTGCTTCCCATCTGTGAATTCATCTAATTTCATATCTTAATGACCCAAGGAAAGGCTCATCTGATTAGCTGGTGAGTCACTTCCTCTTTGAAGAATAGACTAAATGTCTTCTGGATTCCATGAGTCGAGTTTAATTCATCAAGTGGTTTTATTACTCATTTGTTTTATCATTTTTACTCATGTCTGGACTGCATGAATAAATGGGGCATATTCTATACATCAATTTATGCAAAATTAAATGTATACACAGTTGCCAAATGTCTTGTTACTCTGCTTCTATAATTGTTTTTTTTTTAAAAACAACTTCCAACTCAACTTCAATTCCATACCCATATATATGTGCTTATAAACTGGTAAGAGAAATAATGGAGTGCAGAGGAAAGACTGCCATTTGCATGACATCACTTACATCCATTTGCAGATAAGGTGTTTTATCGCCAAGTCTAGTTAAAATAGGGATTTCTTAAATATATTTACTCATTCCATTCATATATCAGCACTTATAAACCAACGTATTACACAAATTATTTCAATAATTTTAAGGGAAAGGAGCCAATTGTGTCATGTTTAAGTTTTTCTGGAAATACTAACTTGGCAAAACACACGTTATTAGCTTTACAAATTCTAATAAACTTTTCAAAACAAAAAAAGCAGGGGTGACCCACTACCATAGACTTCTTCATTTTTGTCAACTCATATTCTCTTTTTGGTTCATAATTTGTTCTCATCCAAATGGTCCTTTTTCCTAAGTTTTTCTCCTCTATTTTTTATCTCATATGTTGATCAGCAATGAAGGATCTAGTACTTTCTGGCTTATCTAAACAACGCCTATGGTTTCTAGGCTATTCAAATGCAATCTGATCATTGCTCTAAAATAGTTCACGCTCAATTTAACCTTTGAGGGATCCTGATGCATAATTTACCAACCATACTTTCCCCAGTTTGCTCCTGACCTCATGCCTTAGTAATACATGGTGGCATCCTGCCTCACATGTACGTCAGATGCATCAACCTCCAGTGTAGGTCGTGCTTTGTTCCTTCAATAACAACTTGCTCTGGCATTCTTCTTTCAAATGTCTATCAAAAAAGTCTATTAAATCTAGCAAAACATCAACTCCATACACTGGTCAATCAACTTGGAGTAGAGAAAAATAACATGTACAAAGTTTCTACTGAATATTACTTTAAGTTGCCATCTTTACCAGAAAATTTTAGTTCCATCTGAGACATTTTATTTATTTTGGCTCACATACAGCATTTAAGAGGACTCTGCTGAAATGCTAATCCATATCCTGACCACATTTTGTGGTTATACAGAAGAGTAACATAAAGCCTGGCTGGGAGGTGAATTTGAGGTTACAAATAACTGAACCAGACCAGCTTGGTCATCAAATGTGGGTACTCCCCTTTTGAAATAGAGTCAATGCAATGTTCCATTTTGATCACTAAGTATAAATTCTATATGCTTTGGCTTTCAGGGATTAGACTAAAACATGTTAGCTTAACTTATTTTTCAGTGAGTCACACTCTTCTCCAAATCTGAAACCTTTTCCACTCTCTCTCTCTTTTCTTTCTCTCCCTTTAACATGAAGTTACCTCTGTGAAAAAGGAGAAAAGCATCACCTTCTTTGGCATTTCAGTAAGATAAATGCCCAGACTCAGGACCTGGGACAGCAGAACGTTTTTCCAAAACCTTTCTACAAGCTTTTAAAACTACACTCTGATAATAATTTAAAAAAAAAAAAACTACACTGTACATGTGTTACTGAAGAAAAGAGCACAGTGTGATTGAATCAGAAAGTTTTGCTTTGGCAAGATAAAGCTGAGTGTGATTTAAAGAGCTGGCTCTACCTGGCATTGTTGTCCAAACAGAGGTATTCCCTTGGGTCTGCAGCACTGGAGTTGGTCGTTTTGACACCTTTGTCAATAAATAAGCCAGCCTGAAATACATAATGATGGACTGAAATGCATATGATTCCCAAGTATATCTACATATAATGAGTCATAAAAATGTTTTAGCTCATCACTCTCACACAAAAATGAGGGGTAGAAGGGAAAGAGAAGCAGCAAAGCCAAAGTACTGTGAAAAAGCAACTACTGTCCTGGGTATTTTGTAATTTGACTCCTTCAGTCATTCAACAATATTTATTTGGTACCTACTTGAAGCCCTATACAATTAAAAAGTAAGATACATTTCCAGTTGTTACTGATAAGAAATCTATCAGAAAGACATACAATTTAATAAACAATTGCTATCCAACAGGTGAAGCATATGATAAAGAAACTAGAAAATGATCAGGCAGCAAAGAAAAAGGCACTTAGATGAGGCCTTTTTCATCAGTGGAGAGGATTCATGGAATGTCTGCTAAAAGAAGTGACCTCCTAACGCTGAAACCGTCAGAATAGGGAGAAAAGAACCACGCTTCGCTTTTGAATGCTCTGGAGGTGAATAGGAAACAGCTGAGGAGCCCAAAGGAAAGTACTGGAAGATATCGTGCGCATAAAAATGTGGAGACAAGAGAGAGCCTGGGACATCTAAGGAAACAAATCCTGGACGGACTAGCAGGAACTCACGGAAGGAGGAAAGGAAAGGAAGAAGGCTACGGACAAGTGAAAGTCAGATCATACAGGGTTGATATGCTGTGAGACACAAGACAACAGGACTTTAGTAATCAAGTATGTTTTAAGAAAAACACAGTGGGCTGGGGGATGTCACTAAGAAGTACAGCACTTGCCTAGCATGCATAAGACCCTGGGTTCAATCCCCAGCACTGAAAAAAATGCTGTAGCTAAAAACAGAAAATGGATTGAAAGAGGGCAAAAGGAGAGAGACAATAAATGAAGGAGAAGATTTTAGTCCTCCATGACAGAAATGGAATGGCCCAGATTTGTGGCAGCAGTAACAGGAAATTTGACAGTGAGAACACTTTATGAAGCAGAACTGTTATCATGTTATAACTGATAAAATGTCTGGTGGTGAAGGAAAGGCAGTGATAGCAGCTCCTATTTTTTTATTTGTGCAACTAGGAAACTAGTGATTGCATGCACTGAAACAGGCATACAGAAATAGGCCAGGCCTAAAAGTAAAGACTTTAGTTTTTGTATGTGTTCATGAGACATTAAAATGGAATTCAGCAGGCAGTCAGATAAACAGGACAAACTGGACTAGATGGTTTCCATAGGTATCCACAATTGAAATCAGGGGGCAGTGTGTGTGAGTGTGTCTGTGTGTGTGAGTGCGAGAATGAAAATGTGTGTGAGAGTGTGTGAGTGTGTCTGTGTGTGTGTTATAAGAGTGTGTGCATGAGTGTGTGTGTGTGTGTGTGTCTGTGTGTCTGTGTGGTATGTGTAAGAGAGACAGAGACACAGAAAGCGAGAGATTCCCAGACAGCTGGCTTCTTTTTGAGGATTCCATGGGTTCAATTTTCCTTATATATAAATTATTATCTGGCATAATCATTCCCAAATTCAGCAATTAAAACCTAATTATCCACTCATTTAGATTTAATATTCTTATAATTAAGAGAAGATCGTTACATGTCATCATGATATATGACACTAAAAATTAATTAGGAGGTGCTTTTTTATCATTTGTAATTTTTAAAAATTGAGTATTTTTCCCTTTGAAATGCTACTTCCAATAATTATTAGCTTTAATCACCTATTCTGCTCATAAAAATTATAGCATTTTTCCCTCTTTTAAGTGATTCCAAGCTTCTCAAATTATAAGACACACACTTAGTTTTTTAAAGTACCCTCTGAGTATTATACATGCCTTGTGAGCACAAAATGAAACAAATATATTTATCGTCTGGGAGGGGCAGGAGTGAGTGCCAAAGACCATAGAAACTTGAGCTTCTGGATGGCCTTTAGGTTACTTGATCTGTATAGTTTTAAATTAGGTTAAATAATCTTGTGCAATACTTCACTATTTATACACTTAGTAATACTAAACACCCAAAAGAACACTCGACCAGCACTGTGAATGGAGAGAAGACAGGAAGTATGTTTTCTAATGTATACATCCTAGAAACACGTTATGGTAAGAAAGATTAGAAAGGTTAATGGAGGGAGAGAAGGAAGGGACAAAGGAGAGGAAGAGGACACACGGATGACATAATTAAATCAGATCATATATGCAAGTGCATTGTGCATATTCATCTGTGTATAAATGGAATGTATATACACCTGAACATGGAAGATAAGGTGTCTAATTTTTTAATCACAAGTCACTTCCTCTGATGACAAGTTATACCAAACACGGACACTTCGCGGTTGTAATCTACTATGGTTTGAATGTGTCTCTCCAAAAGCATGTGTTGGAAACTTTATCCCCAGTACAAAGTGTTAGGAGATAGGCCTAACGGGAGTGTTTTAATGAAGAGGACTCCATACTCAGGAATGGATTTAGGGCCAATTATAAAAGGGCTTAAGCAAATTATGGAATCACCCTAGGTACCCATTATTCTGGTATATATACACTATGGGAGTTTTACTCAGCTACTAAGAAGAACAAAGTTATGGCTGGAAAATGGATGGAACTGGAAATCATCACATTAAATGAAATAAGGCAGTTTGCAAAGACAAGTATCACACATTTTCCCTCATTTTGGGACCCTAGGAGGAAACAAAACAAAACAAATGAACAACAATAAAAAAATACAGAGTTATGAAAGTAAAAGGGAGACTACAAGGGAGGTGGAAGAGGAAGGAAAAAGGGAGAAGGAGGATGGAGGAATTTTTAAAAAGTAGTAAGCAGTAATAAGCGTAATATGATCCAAGTATATTCCATGCATGTATGGAAGCATCATGGTGAAACTCCTTGCACTCCTTACTATGTACACTCTGATATAGGCCAATAATTTTTTTTTTTTTTTTTGCAGTCCTGGGGCTTGAACTCTGAGCTTTCACGTTTGGCCATCCCATAGCTCTTGTGTGATGGAATTTTTCAAGATAGGATCTTGTGAAGTATTTGCCTGGGTTTATCCTCGAACCACGATCCTCCTAATCTCTACCTCCTGACTAGCTAGGATTACAGACGTAAGCCACCAGCTGCCGGCTAATAAAAACTTTTTAAAAAATAAAAAGTAAAAGGACTTAGGGATTTGAGATCAATCTCTTGCTCTCTCTCTGCCTTTGTGCCATGGAATGATGCAGCAAGAGGCCTTCTCAGATGCTGACTCCTTAATCTTGACCAGTCACCAGAACATGAGCCAAAAAAAGTTCTATTCATTATAAATTACCCAGTTTGTAATATTCTATTAGAGCAGCACAAAAAGGACTTAGACATAATCACAGTTGTCCATCATACATACTGACTGTAACCTACCTTAAAACTTGAATGGACCCTGTTGTTATAAAATATACCCAGTGGAGTGAGTTCTGGTTTCTCTAGGAGCTGCAATCCACTGGACTCCCCAGTAGGTTCCTTATGGAATAAATACCATATTCCAGCATCCTATAAGTGAAAAAGAGCAAGATTATTAAAAGTCTTAGTTATGAAGCACCCTCATAAGCTGCTTTGCAAGCAAGGTTAATCTTTTTAACACAAATTTTTCATGGTCTTAAGTTTGGAATTGACTTCAAAAAAGCTGTACATCCTCAAAGCAGTTGTATAAGGCATTTTTTTCAAAAAGCAAATTTAATTTTGCTAACTGGACAAAAGAAATAATTATCTGACGGAAAATTTGTTTCCAAAACAACTCGCCAATCATTCTCTACTTTGAAACGTTGTGCAGAATTAGAGCCAAATAAACGTTCCATGTGACCAGGACAGCACAGCCTTTAAGCAATGTGGTTTTCTCTGTTTACCTCCAAACTTGATCAATAGATGAGTCATGCCTATTAAACAACTATCTGTCAACATGTAGAGCTCACTGGCTTCTTTCAAACAACTCCAATGCCCTTCCTGTCCTAAGGCAAATTTTTGCCAAAGGAGAAAAAAAAAAGAAAAAAAACCACTGCATGCATGAATCAGGATGCTGTCTGAGTCTGGACGCGGTTCATTCAATTTCAGGACTACTGACCCTAACAGGAGAAGAACTTTTAAAATTTTTGGATATAAAATGAGACATGGAAATAGAAAGAAGTGTTCTTAATTTCCATGATGATTTTTTTTTTATTTTGAAACTCAATTAAAAATCAGCCTGATGTGATGGATAACTTCACATCATGGAACTTTGATGAAACAGGTTGTAAAAATTTAAACATACAGTGCAAAAGGATACTATCCACCCAAATTTAGCTTACATGTATTTAATATAATGGGTGAGGAGTAAGATTATTCTCAAACAATTCATAGTCTAGTGAGAAATACAGAGATAACTAAAATACTATGTTAGTAATTATTATATTAGGTATTAATAAATAAAATTCTTTGGGAGAAAAGGAGAGGTTAACTTTATGTGTAAGAATGCATATATCCCTACACACAAAAATGAATGTAATTTTAACATTTTCCAAGATAAAAGTTTATAAATGGGTCTTAATTAATCAAACTGCTTTGAAAAATATTTGCCGCCTCAATTATTTTCAATACGATACAGAGAACTCAACAGAAGAAGACTTAAGGACTGGTAAGAAGGCTAGACACCCAAGCTGAGAGCAGAGCAGACTGTCTTAGGATGCAATAGAGTTTGGGATTGATTGATGAGGGTATACAAGAGGGTAGCAGCTATTTCCTGTAAAATACTGTCTTGTCAAAACGGGTACAGAGAGCTTTGTAAAAGGCAATGGAAATACAATAAAGAAACAGTTTGATTTACTCTCAGAGGAAAATTCCTGCCAAACACTAGCTTTACTGGAGCAGTTTTTCTACAGAGAAAAGAAAGAATTCACAGAATATATATGAGATGCTTTCACTGTTCTCATCTGAGCCATAGTAAGGGCTTCTGACAACCTCACATTACATTTTCTAGAACTATTTATGCCTAACTTCTGAAAAGAAACGAGAGTAAGCTTGGCTCTGGGTGTTGACTTGCAGTGCAGCATAGATCAGAAGAAGATTGGAGCGGGCAAGGCTGCACATTACCTCTCAGCCATTGCTTTCCCATTAGAAACACAGCACAAATCCACATGAACTCAACAAATACTTTAAAGAAAATAAATGAATGAAAATCTCAAGTCTTCACATTTCCAAGTTCTATGCTGTTAATGAAGAATTTTCAAGTCACAGGGACCTTCAGATTAGGTTTTCTGTTTTTAAGGAAAATCACTGATGTGAATTCAGCCATCACCTGGTGATGGCTGTGTTCTTGTTATCTCAAAGAACTACTCCTTAGTCCTTGGAAATGATGTTAGGTATTTCTTTCCTTTTTTACAATTTTATACAGTTATGATGTACAAGCATGAATATTTACATATTACTTATTGTTCACAGCCTTGTGTTACAGTTTTCAACCAAGCTGCAATCTTAGTAGCATATTGTCTTAAAAGATTCATTTATATCATAAATTAGAAGTTGTGAAGCACACTCATTTATAAAGGTAAACTTCTCCAAGTTTATCCAGGGGACATCTCTACCAATTAAAAACATAAAATATTCCATTTGTTCTTTTAAAAAAAATTACTTTCATGTGTGTAGGTGTATGTGTGTGTCTGTCTGTCTGTCTTAAATGACTCAAGGCCCTTAGTCAATTCATGTTACGTAACTGAGCTTCTAGCTGGCATTATCAAGGAAATGAAATCCCTAAAGTACATAATCCTTGCATTTAACTAAAAATTGCACTCCCTGAACAGAGTGACAATTGTCACAGTGTTCTGCAGACTAAATCTACTCCCATAAAGAAAATGTAAGGCTTTCTGTGTTCAACATTGATACACTAGAAACTGAAATCAGTCACTTGGCCATAGGAGACTTAAAAATGAGAATCCAGAAAGATTTACGTAACACAGTAACAATACACTCTGGAGATGACTAACCTCAGAGGTCAGTTCACCTCTTTTTCCTTCATTTGTCATCTGTCCTTAAAACTCAGACACTAATTGGCATAAAGGATTTAGAAGAAATGGAAGAACCACCTCAGCCATCTCCTACTCTCAGCTAGACAAACAGTACTAGAAAACAATGTCATGCTCAAGTTACACTGGCCCACATGACATCATACCCACATAAACCAGAACATTCAAAAATCATGAACCATACAAAAATAAGCTGAAAACACTCTGGTATTACTTACCTGTGAACCTGCGGCAGCATTGTTAATCAGATTGTTGTTGGGATGAGCAATCCAGAAAGTTGAAACAGCCCTGCAAGGCATTTTTGAAGATGATTTCAACAGTCTTCATAACAAATCCTACCTACTCAAAACATCCCTTAAAGTACCTTTCCCAAAAGCCAAAGGCCGTGGCCGTTACACCTGAGTTTCTCTCGTTGCTCATTACTCACATGCAGTCTGTGGCAGGGACAGGGATGTAGTTTCCAAACACTTTATCTCGAATGTTGGTGCACATGGAGTTGTTCCTATCAGTGGGAAGCACAGTGCCTGGCTTGGTGAGAAGCCCCAGATTGTGGAATAAAGTATTTCTCTGTTCAACACCATCTTCCAAAAAGAAACAATGTCCTAGTGTGTCAAATCCAATGGTATCTTTTATCTGCAGAAATAGAAGTGTAGAATATCATTGGTAAGAAGATTAATTGGGATTTAAGGGCCAAGTGCTACTCACTGTAGCATGCTCAGCACAAATGCAAAAAAGTATTTAATCTTAGCAGAATAGGCAAAGTCAAATATTAGATTTTTATTTCTCACCTAAGAGGACAGTTTGGTAAAAAGCAGTAGGCGTCCTTCAGACAGAAGAGTAGAATTCTCAGTAAGATCAGTTCAGAGTAGGCACATGGCAAACTTGTTTACTCATGAGAGTTAAGGAGTGTAAACATTTCGATGACAAATGACACGTGTCAACATCATATGATACTACTTACTAGCAAGCCGTTGGTTCCATGCACGGTGATGCACCTTGAGAAGCTGTGATGGACAGACAGGCCATCCACAAATGCTGGGTATCTGTACCCTCCTTTGTAATCCACATCTCCACACAGGTGAAAATGCACAGGATACTTGCCTAGATGCTGCTGACCCATGTGCTTCAATTCCACATAGGAAAGGTGGACGGAAGTAAAATTTTTCCTTATCTATAAGACAAGGTACACAAAGTCAAGCTGATACTTCTCAGAATTGGAAATAGCAAAAAATGTTGCTTAAATAGAAAAATGTCTAAAAGGGAATATTTTTTTACCCTCCCTTTCTTCCTTTTTTTTTGACAGGGTCCAGCTACATAGTCCAGCCTGGCCTCTAACTTGCAATTTCCCTGCCTTGGTCTCCTTAGTGCTGGTATTACAGTCATTATATCACCACCTGGCACAATATTTCTCTTCTTTTCCTCTATCCCCAGTTCATAATTTAGCAAATACTTCTTTATGTACCTGAATGCTTTGAAGAGCAATAAAAATAGTTTCTAGTTAGGAATAAAGGCAATAAAGCTATAAAAATTATTTCAGTGTATGTGGGTTTTTTTCAGTCATATATCTTATACAATATGCCTCTTATTTTTTATTAGCATATTATTATTGTACTGGGGATACATTGTGACATTTACAAAAGTTCTTACAACATATTTAAGTCAAATTCACCCCCTCCATCATTCTCTTTTATCCCTCTACCTTTCCCTTCTTAGAATAGTTTTAACAGGTCTCGTTCCATTTTCATGCATGAATACAGAATATTCCACCATATTCACCCTTCTATACCTTTTCCTTACATCCTCCCCCCTCGTACTGATACCAACCCCCAGACAGGACCTACTTTACCTTTCTGTCCTTCATTTTTGAGAAAACACTTTCTTTGTAGTGTATTTGTTTTGATTTGCTCAAATACAGGTATTCCTCAATGATTTACAATGGGATTATATCCTGATAAAGCCATTTTTAAATTGAAAATATCATAAGTCAAAAGTGCATTTAAGAAGGGAGTTGTGATAGTCTACCTATAATCCCAGCACCTGGCAAGAGATTTGCCAGTTCCAGGCCAGCATACGAAAGTGTCTCAAAATAAAAACAACAAAACTGAATTTTATTCCCCTAAACTACTAAACAAATAAGCTTAGCATCACTGTGTAGTGTTGAGTATGGGTTGTTTTTCCCCTGGCAGTGGAGTTACTGACTAGGAGCTCCAGCTGGCTGCTATCTCAAGACAGTGTCAGACTATATATCATTAGCCCATGAAAAGGTCAAATCCAAAATATGAAGTAAGGTGTCTAATGAATGCATTAGACTTCTGCAACATTGTAAAATTGAAAAAGTAGTAAGTCACATCGGGGACTATATGTATTTTGGTCATTCCTAGCCTCATCTTATTCTTTAACTTCCACAACCTTCACCACAGTTTGATAGGTAGGTATCAACTTCTAACTCCTCCCCCAAAGTTTTGTTAGCACATCATTTTATCTGCATAAGTTCTTTAAAAAATTCCTCTATGACTCAAGGTTTGAGCACCCTAAATATTTTTAAACATGGGATTTTTCAGTCGTGTAACTAAAAACAAAAAATATGCTGATCGACATTTCTCAAACCAGTGAAACAGAAATGCTGCTAAAGTTTGAGCACTCTCAATATTTTTACACACAGGATTTTTCAGTTTTGTAACTGAAACCAAAAAAAAATATGCTGATCAACATTTCTCAAACCAGTGAAACAGAAATGTTGCTAACAACCACAGCCCACTCAATGCAGAAAATGATTGAAAACACATGGAGCCAAAGCGCAGACGAGGGCTGAAAGCTTAGTGTACAGAATACCACCTACCATATAGTAACTGCTCGATATTTTTACAGAATAAAAATCTGCATACAAAACGTTTTTATAGAAACATATCTTGCATGTGCACACTACTACTGCTTAACCACTAGTAACATCATGTTCTTAAAAGAACCAACACATTCATTCAGAAATTGCAAGTATAGGTGGCAAGGTCATTGTGTTTTTGTCTCTATGTAATTGGGTTCTTCCCACTATATTGATTTAATTCTTCATGGAACAGTTCTTGACTGGTTGAAGTAAAGGTTCAGGTCAGCTAAATAAAGGTACAACTTTCTCTTCTAGTTTTTAAAAGAATCCTCATTATTTTAAAAAGGGAAATAAAGTGATTTTTTAATATGCATGAATTCCAAACTTAAAAATCTCTTCGATATAGGTACTTAGCACCTAGAATTTCAAAAAAAATCATTAAATCCTTTTGCCTACCATGACATGACCCCCAAAGGTGTCATAATCAAAGAACTGGCACTGATTATCTGAGTAACATGAGTCCTCCGTTTCTCCTTGGATCACAACATTGCGGGTGAGAATTCCAACCTCAGCTCTCATGTCTACCCCGTCTATGATCTCACCCATGTGCAGGAACTGAGGAGTTTCTGATTGATGTGGAAAAGGGAAAAAAGAGTATTAGAACAAAGAAAACATGAAACACTTCAAAAGACAGTCTTTATTCTATAAGCTCAAGACATTATCAACAACTTATCATCTCCCACTGTCTAATACAGAATCTCAGGAAGCAGGGATTTTAAAGATTACCTAGTCAAACACCCACCTGAACCCTCACAACCACCTATCCTGCCAATTCACAAGCCCAGGCACTAACAGAGAGCTTGCTCTGCCCTGGAGCATTTCAGTCCTCACTTGAACTGCACTAGAGATCTGGAATCTACCTAATAATCCCCAATGTTTCTCTCTGGTTCCTGTCCTTGTTCTACCCTGTCCCCTTTCCCCCAGGACATATACAGAACCAAATGCAAGTAAGGCCTTAGTAAGAAACGGTTTTGTAGACCTTGCTATCAGGTATCATATTTATGCTTCTACTTCAAAGCTAAACTAATCAGCATTTGGACACCAACCATACAGAAATTACTACCTTTTCTTTCACATTTCCTATGACAGTATTATTATGTATCCTTTTACATTTCTATCTTCCCCAGAAGTTTAGGAGCAACTTAATAATGCTTTACTCTCTGATGCTCTTACATAAACTCAGGAAAGAAAAATTCAAAGAAATCACGGGAGTGGAGCTTACAGAAACTCATTATCACATTGACTTATTAACAAGAGTGAAAATTTCCAAGAAATATTAATGCCAGACAGTATCATCATAACTTTTGGGCTTTTCCTTTTATATTTTTTTGGTTTTTGCTTATGCCTAGTATTATCAAAAGGAAAACTGTAAGACTGAATGAAGCACAGGAGGAAAAAAAAAAAAAACAAGCAAGCCAGTCATACTATTTTTTTATTTCAAAGTGGAAAAATTTCCCTTGAACTTCAAAGCTCCAGATCCTTATTACTTGTAACTACTAAAAAATAAAGTAAGCACTTCTTGAACAATTACTGTCAACTTCTGCTCTATATATCATTGTATAATCCTGAGAACATAAGCAAGGAAATTGATATGAATGAAATCTTGTAAGTGAAACAACGTACAAAGGGGCTTTGCCTAGTGCCTGCTCAGAATAAGTAAATGGCAGCCATTCTTTCTACACACAGCTTACATAAGAATCTCGTAAGAATCTATTTGTACATTGCTCTCCTTCAACAAATCTGCGAAACAAGATTATAGTAGGAAATATAGTCTAATGAAAGTATCTATTTGGTTCTACGTTAAATATTACTGATTTTTTTTTTAAACCAAGCAAGTAGGAACTCAAAAATCATGGAACTTTCTTTTAATTAAAAGTCTCCCAAAAAAGGAGGAGGAGCTTAGGGAGGAAGGAAAGCAGTAAGTAACATAGAAGATGAGATGACTAACATGGAAGATAAGGAGGCTGCCAGAGCTGGGAAGAGGTGGCAGACAGCAGTGGGAGTATCCAAATATCTCCAAAAAAATCTGCATTTCAAGCAGATAGCCTTGAGTTGAGGGAGAGGCCCTGCACAGAACCACATCCTCAAGAGGACTACCACCAAGGGTGGTCACCAGCCCCATGTCCACCACCAGGACAGCCCTTTGGGTCACAGCTGTAGCACATCAGGCTTAGAATGGAATCCTGGGCAGTGCCAGCTCTGAGGAGGAGCAGGAGAAAGAGGAGAAACAGAAGGAACCCAGCCTCCACTGACCAACCAGGATTTCCCTACCCAAAAACAGCAGGAAGACTAGTAATGTGATCAGCCAGCCTCTGGGTCCTATGAGTCACAAGGCTTCCAACAGTGCAGGTAAACGCAAGGAAGAAAAGAATGCCACTGCTGCCCCTTCCTGGGTCATCTTCCTAGGTCACTGCCTCCTGGATGGTCTGGCATGGGTCACTTTGCTGTGGCAGGCAAGCTAAACTTGCACAGAGAGAATGACCTGACTTACTTGCACAGTGATCTCCCTTACCCTGCCCTCTGCCCACTGTGACCTTGAACCCCATGCACTGTGACCTTCCTCATTCCCACACTTCCCAGGATGATGGGCATGTTAACAAGGGCTCTCTCGGGTCAACGGGAAGGCAAAGCATGAAGGGACAGAGAGGGTTGGAGGGAACCACCAAAAACTCAGAATAGAGAGTCAGACAGTGCCACTCAGCCCCTTGGGACAAAGCCAGTGCTAGCATTAACAATTTATCATTCTCCTTAATTTGGGATTTCAAAAAACAAATGAGAACTCCCGCCCGCCCACCCCCAAGTGCATGTCTTCATTATTTTAAAAAGTAAATTCCTTATTAAATTTTTTTTAAATATTTTATTAACAAGGGGTCTAGTTGATAACTGGGTTTTATCTGATAGTGGAAAATTAATAACAAATGGGAAAGATTTTGGAAAAAACTCAGTTCATCTAGTCCACTTTTTTTTTTCAAACAAAGAAACTGAGACACAAAAATACTGATTTACCTACTATGTGTCATTAATAGCAAGAATTCTGTTCAATAACCACTACCTAAAATACTCTGGGATCTGATATTAGATGCATTCCACTGCAAAGACCCTTAATATTGATGATGGTGGTGGTGGTGATGATGACTGGAGGGAAAAAAAGATTCCAGGAATCAAATCCCAAGAAAAGAGTATTTCCTAAAAAGTACTCTGAAGAGTCTGATACCTTTGACTTTAACCTGAAAACGGCTACACTCTGGACAGGGGAGAAGAGTGAACTCCTCTGCTTGGTACATGGAATAGTCGGTGCTTGCAACTACAATTTGGTCTCCAGGTTTCCAGCTACTAACATCATCCAGCAGATGAAGCTTCACTCCATCCACGATCTCCACCCGGAAACCCGAAAGAGAAATGCCTAAACAAACAAACAAAAAGTAATGTATTAACAGGAGTTTTACTTCTAAAATCAATTGTCTCCCTGAATCACAAATCAAAAGTGAAGATAAACATAATTCACCAAATTTTTACTAACCATGTGTCAGTCACTGCAGATATAAATGATAAAAATGTGAAAATCTGGATGCCCTCAAAGAAAGAGAACACCATGCACCACTAGCCATGATATAAGCTGTCATTTTAGTAAACTATTCTTTTAAATTTTTGAAGACTCTCCATCCCCAAATCTTTTGCTTTATTTCAATTCAGTGCTAAAATTATAATACCGCCCCCCAAATTTGTAACAAGAACATATCACACTTGGGTAGAAGCAGCCAAGCACAGAATATGTCTGTCATAAACTCTCCAGTGTTTAAATTTTATCTAAACACAGAAGAGCTAAGACATTAGTGCATAGGCAGTCCAAATATTAGCAATAAAGTTTATATCAGAAAATTTCACAATTCTGTGCCTTTGCTCATACTTTATTTTTGTTAAGCTTATAATAATGGAAATTTATTTATCACAGTCCTGAAGACTGGGAAGTCCAAGGTCAAGGTACCAGCAAGTCAGGGTCTGGTGAAGACTTGCTTTCTCATAGAGGGCTCCTTCTCTCTCGGTCCTTGCATGCTAGAAAACCAATGCACACTTTATTCTTTACCTAGAATGTCCTTCCACTCTTGTTCATCAAGATACTGTCCACCTTTTCAGAAACTGCAGGTGAATCATGCTTTCTGGAAAACTTTCCTTCCCATATTCTCAAACATTTTCTTTACTATTATTCATACCTTCACCACAGGAGTATGGCTCACCTCCTTGTAAGGTGCATAGTGAAGGCAGTGGAGTGTAGCCACTTACGTATTCACTACTCTATCTCTGCCATAGTACACATCCACCAGACGCCTACTGAACAGATGAGTATGACCAGTTTGATCTGCAATGTGACCTGAGATCCCATGATGGAACTCCTGTTCAACTCCTGTCTATCCTCTCTAGGATGATGCAAAATTATGCAACCTAGTGAGTAATGGCTGATCTTTCCTAAAATCTCCTTTGAAATTTAATGCTGGTTCTCAATTGGGTAGTCAAGAATTGAAAAGCCAATCCACCTTCTCCATAACTTATACTTCTTCTACATTCCCTGCTTCTATAGTGTCCATGATATAATCTGTCATTAGCCAGAAGCTGATCTTATAGAAATGTGTATAGAATACAGGGCAGCTACTTCATAACATCAACAGGGAATGAAAAGCTCATTTCAGAAATATCTGTTTAACAAATATCTATACTTCTCTATCATCACTCTAATTAACAACATACTATTCTGGGGCCACATTAAGATGCTAACTCTAAGGAACAATAATATGGGCTGAAGAACACATTTACTGGGCTGGTAGAATTGCTCAAGTGGTAGAGTACCTGCTTAGCAATCATGGAGGCCCTGAGCTTAAACCCGAGTACCCAGTACCACCAAAAAAAAAAAAAAAAAAAAAAAAAAAACCCACAAGAACACACTTATTTAAATTAAGAGAATCAAAAGAAATGGGCAACAAACCAGGAATAATATAAATAGTATATAAATAGTCTTACTATCTTGTGCCAAATATCCAGATAAGTGCTATAGACAAGTCCTAGGTCTAGAATCTACCCTGTGGTTTTGCAAACACGCACACACACACACACACACCTAACAGGCCTCATGTATTTTTGAAATGCTCCTTGCATCTGATACTAAAGGCTATTCTGGTATTTTATCCAAATAAATAGATTGTTATCTAACAATTATAATAATAGTTAATAGCTGGTGGAACTTCAAATGCATTATAATGTTTCACAGAAACAACTGTGAGAGATAGAAATTATTATATTCATAAGTGGTAAAGAAACCAAAGATCCAGGGTTTGAGCAGCTAAAATCACAGCAAAAAAAAAAAAAAAAAAAGATAGTGCCCACAACTCTGAATGCTAATTTAATTCCAGAACCCAATTTGTTAACCTCAAGTCTTTCCAAAAACAGAAATATGCAGCTTAAGAAAAAAGATAATCAAAAGTCCCATGACAGTAACAATGATTATTACCCAAAATTTGAAGTTTTACCAAAAATATATATATATATATATATTCCCTTAAAAAACAAAGGCAACTAGAAAACATTGTTTCACATAAAATTTCAATATTTTTTTAAAAGATGACTATGAGACATAAATAAGTTATGATTTGAAAGATCACTAGTATTTTCTTCTGTTAGTAGTTGCCTAGCAAGTGTGAGGCCCTGAGTTCAAACCCCAGTACTAAAAAAAAAAAGTTAGAAGGTTAGATGGGGAAGAGCGTACTAATTCTAGCTTTAGAAGAAAATCCTGCCTGTGATTATATCCTATTAGTACTACCAGATTGGCTTTGTGGAAAGAAATTTCTACCTCTTCCAGAAAGTAAGGGTCACTAAGAACACAGGGCACAAACAATAGCCCATGATAGATATCAAGAGTATCCCTCTTCCCGAATGAGCAGCACTGTAATGTGGAAAAGAAAACATTTCCTAAAAGGAGAAATTGACTCAGATCTGGCAACAGTCACCCCCTGCCTGGAACCTCCATGGAGGACAACCTCTAAACACAGAACCAAATTCCTGCTAGGAAATACTCCTCACCCACCTATGCTTTTTGCCAGAGACAACCATGGTGTGGTACAAAGAGCAATAATCCTGGAGACAGAGAGCCAGGGATCGATTCCAGCTTCTTCATCCATCACAGATACTATCTCCTCACCCGAACCCAGGTTGTTTGGAGGCAACATGTGAAAGTTCCTGTCTCTTACCAAGGACTCCATTTACTTGTTTTAAAGCAAAAAAATACCATTATCACCTGTCACGTTTGCATCACCATTAACATGTATTAAGTACTTACTATACACACTATGTTAACAACTTCAGGTTCTTCACATTTGACACTCATGGCAGCTCTAGGTGGTAGGTTCTACTATCCCCATTTTACAGATGAGGAAACTGAGGTTATGTACCCATAATCATATAATAAGTAAAAGAGCTAGGATGGGAGCCCAGGCCTTCTATCAACAGATATCCATATTAACAAATGCTTTGCTACACTGCTGCTCTCAGCAAAGTTATAATCCCAGTCTAAAAGTTTTCTAGGTAATGACACAGGTAACAGGCACCTCTTAATTTTACTCACTTCACATTAATTTTGGTATCATTTTTGGTTGGAAAAGAAAGTTGGTGGGTGAGAACAGACAGGAAGCTGTCATTCCATACCTGGAGCTAAAAAATTTGGCAGCAAGGTGGGTAAATTAAAAACTTCTACAGTAAACTAGCACCTAATTCTCTGTGTCTACAGTAAGGAGACTATCTGAAGAATATTGTCTGCTCTTAGTAACATTTGCAAGAAACTGGCTTAAAGGAAAGACTATTATTTCGTCAAGATAAAAAAAAAAAGAACTACAGTGAACATCCTTCAAAGAAAAAAAAACAGAAGCTACCTAAACACTCAGTGGTAGGCATTATTTAAACAAATTATAGTCCTGAAAGAAGAATCACAATTAAAAATTATGTTATGCTGAAGAAAATTTGAAGACATAGAAGTATCTTAAGAATAAAGTTCAAAACAAAATGGAGGAAGGGGAACACAAAAAATTTTTAAATCCTAGAATATTGTACACTGAAATAAGCACTCTTGAATAATGGGGTTAAAGATTAATTTTTACTTTGTACTTCTCTGTATTTTCTATGGATCACTGAGGGGAGGACTGCTAAGTAAATGGAAAGTTTGCTTCCATAGCATGTGTTTAGACATAAGTTTTGCTAGCAGGTCTACATAAAGAAAAGATTGAAAGTGCAAAATTATGTTCACCGTCATGGTACCTAAACAAAGATGGCTCACCTGCCCGTTCAGATTGGTTCAGTTGGCACAAGTCCAGGAAAAATCCATTTTTACTACTTAATCATACTCCATGTCTTAGGAATTAAGAACAAAGTCCAAGTGGGAGTGCCCAAACTAGTATAAGTCATTATCTGTCCAGAAACAGTTCTCCAGTCCAAAAGATGTAAGTGCGATAGGGAAAAAAGTTTGAACTTCAACTGGTAGAGAAAACCAATCAGATAGAATAGACATCATTTGAATATAATTTCATACTTTTTAAAATGCTACAGTATTTACCAGTGTTTTAGAAGAATACAAACTACACTTGCCTACCTTCAATCCACTCACTGTAGGCTGTCACAGAGAACTTTTGACCATCCAGAGTATAAAATTCTCCTTGGGCAAGAGCCTTCCCACCACTGCTGTGGTTTTCATAGTTTCTCACAGATTCATTGCAAGAAGAGCTTCCACCATCAATGACACCAACTAAAGCCCACGCTTGCCTAGAAGGAAAATGGGAATGCACATGGATTATGTAGCATGGTAAGGATCCAATCCTCTGATACAGATATAATGGCAGCCTTGTTTAATTGTTGAGTTTCATGTTTTCAGGTGCCTAAGCCTCTTTTCCCATGAGAGTGCAAATGTAAACTATGAGGGAGGTAACCCTCATAGAAGCAAACACACGTGACTGTCAAAGACTTGTTTGTTCAGCTCTGTAAGAGGTGAAACACCCATGACTCTGACTTTCAATTAATCATGAACTTCCTTCTCAGTACACACCTATCTCACTCACATACCATTTTAGGCACAAATCCACTTCTTGTTTTTCTTTAAAATGACTATCACCTGCTCTCCTTTATTTAAGCTTCTGAGACACATTCATGCTATGTAGCCCAAGCTGGCCTTGAACTCCTAATCCTCCTGCCTCCTACTTGGGAGTGCTGGGATTATAGATGTGTACTGCCATGCCCAGCTTTTTGCTTTGTTTTGTTTTTGTTCACTTTGCTTGTTTGTTTGTTTTTTTAACAGTATGGAAGGGAGATGAATCCAGCTATGAGTACACTGCCACTCAGCATTCGTTGTGAAAGCTCATCGGTGATCTGAATGTGCAGCTAGACTTGAGAAGCAGTGGTTCTCAAACTTCAATCAGCATCACCTGCATGGAGAACTTGTTAAATCAACTGCTGGGCCCCACTTCTACTGTGGCATAGGCAGGACCACCGATCTATATTTCAATAATTCCCAAATGGTGCTAAAACCGTAGCTAGAGAACCAAACTTGGTGAACCCCTCAACTAGATTAGAATCTCCAGTAGTAATTATCAACCGTGACTGCACTGCAGTCACCTGGGGGTTCTACCCTTTGAGATCCTGATCTAAGACGCCCCTGGCATTGTAATTTTTTAAGTCTCCAGGTATGCAGACAAGGCTCACAACCCCTGACTTTGAGGTTTCGTAATATCCTTAAAGCTGCAGGGTCATTGTCCAACAAATTTTCAATTTTACACACCATTATCTATTGAAAGGAATGACTTTGAAAATGCCACTTTAATTCTATGATACTAGATATCAGAGGTACTTGCTCAAGGTTCTGGCTAAAATTAGTCAAAGAAAAAAGACAGCAACAAAGAGCCAAAAAATTTGCTGTAAGCTTCCTGGTTCAAAACATGAAAAGAAAAATGTGAACTTCCTACTTAAGAAAAAAAAAAAAAAACAAGTGTAACCTACGCCAAACAGATGGTTGGATATGCACAGATAAAAGTTAACCAAAGCATGCCTACACCCTTATAAATTCCACAGCCGTGCCTGTGTAGATTAGCTGCTTCTTGGCTGGCAATGCTTTATAGCTTTATTTATATCCCTTGATACAGCAGAAAGGATCAAATAAAGAATTTCTCAACTCCCTGTCCCCTATTTGAGAGGGAAGGAGAGGAAAAATGTCAGAGGCTTCCTTTATTTACCAGAACTGCCTCAGCAACTACAAAACAATGCTCTATTCTATTGGCATTATCTTCAAAACACTCCTACTTCCCTCCTCCACTTGAGAAAAATTGCCATGCACTAGAACATTCTCTTCAAAGGAGCATGTGTTCATGTACACTGGAGACCATGTCAATGCAATGGAAGCTGGTAAAAGGTCACCATTCTAGCCCTCCTTCAAAATCAGCAATATTTTAAAGGGAATTTAGAAATTAAGCCAAAAAAGAATGGAAGCAATCAAAATAGTCATAGCTAAGGATCACGCAAATGTAGGAACAATGACGGCAAGAAAAAAGAGAAGTTGTAATCCCTGATATTACTAAATGAGGAAAGTAGGTCTGTATCTTACATGTCCCCCACCGCTCATGCATGGAAGGCTTGGAGGTATATGAAACTTAAGAGGTGGGGCCTATGAGAAGGAAGCAAGTTACTGGAAGTGTGTGCCTGGAGGTTGATTATGTACTCTCTTGTTCTCTTGTTCTCTCTCTCTCTCCCCCCCCACCTTCCTCCTCCCTCCTCTTTCTGGCCACCATGAGGTGAGCAACTTTGTTTTACCACATGCTGTTCACCACAGGCCCAAAGTAATGGGGCCAAGTGACCATGGGCTGAAACTTCTGAAATCGTGAGCCAAAATAAATCTTTCCTCCTTGTAAGTTGATTGTTCAGAGTATTTTGAGATGGCTAATACATGTCTTAAATATATTAGTTTTGAGAAAACCAACTAACACAATAGGTATCTAACTTTGAAAAGCCATGTTTCTATGCCTAGGTCTATAAATTACAGAAAAATGTACATACACATGTACGTCAAGCGACGGGTAGAGGAATATTTACAGAAGCATTTCCTATAATAGGTCCAAACTGGATAGCCATTCAAATGTCCACCAGTAAACAAAGTGTGATAAATTCATACACCAGAAAATAAACAGCAATGAAAATGAGCTGGCACGATACACAATGACATTCAATAACATAATATTATGTAAAGATGACAGACACAAAGCGTTTTGTCTGCTACTATTTATGACATCCAAAAATGGGCAAATCTAAAATTTAGGGTAGCCCACAAATTCAGGAGAATGGTTACCTTTGTTGATGAGGAAGTGATCCGTGCACAGTAGTAACACTGGGAGTTTTCTGGGCTGCTGGCAATGTTTTATTTCTTGGCCTGAGTGGAGGCTATGGAGGTATGAAGTGGTGATAAAATCACCAAGCTTTACATTCTTGTTTTTGGCACTTCTCTTTATGTATATTATATTTAAACACAAATAAAAACCCTGAGATTTTGCACATGGTACTCCCCCATCTGGATAGCATTCCTTCTTTGCTGTCTACACACAATACTCCTAAAGTTCCCCCAGGCATCTTGCCTTTGGGAAGCCTGCACTAATTCCCCAGGACACCTTAGGGCCTCTATTTATGGCTCCATTACCACCTGCAAGTGCAGCAAACACTGTCTGCTCATCATCTATGTAGGTATCTGTTTACCCATTTCTGAGACAGAACATTTTCCTCAAAACATCGAAAGATGTCCAGCACTTGGCATCTCGTAATACAAGGTGTATGAAAGGCTCTTCTAAAATATTACAGGCAATTTTTCTTCACTAATTTTGGTTTCCTAGAATTTCTGTAGATAATGGAATATTTTCCATTCCACAACCGACCACCAAAGAAAAAGTAACTAGGTCATTTCAGCATGTGGGTTTTGAGGTCCTCTTCTCACTGCTGGTATTTCCCAATTTCAGTAAGAATATTCAGCAGAATTAAAACTTCTGGTTTTTGGGTTTGTTTTTATTTTTTTTTTAATCTTTCATTGAATGTTGAATCAGCTACTTCTCCTAGTTGTGGCACATGAAAGGAGCCAATCAAACAAGTGGTTTCAAATTAGCATGTAAAGGATTAGCATGTAACAAAGAAAGAAAAAGAGAACTGAGCTTGCCCCACCCCTTTGGGCTTTGGGGACAGGGTTTTAGCATGGTCGTACCCTAATCTTTAGACTCCTGGTTGCCTCAATTAGACTGAATTTCATTATCTTCAGGAGGTAAGGAAAGGAGAAAGTCTCTTCAGAGGCACATTGTCTTTCAGCCACCTGACTGTTTTGCAGTACCACATTTCTGCTCTTTTTACAGAGGGCATAAACCAAAGCCAAGACAAGAGGTTTTGTATACCAAATCCAGTTATCCAATCCCATCCATGTTTCAAAGCAGGAGGCAACCAGACCCACTACCACAGATGGGACCAGCCATTCTGGGAATGACCACTCCCACTGCTGAGCCAGGCTATGATGTGCTGTGCTTTCTTTCTCCACCTTCTCTCCTCTCAAACAGACAGGGACTCTAACAAAGAGCTAGGAAAAAAAGAACAAGGTATGCCCACCTATAGCCCAGTCCTTGGATCAGCTTACTTCCCAACCGGTCCTGGATCATCTGGATAGTTCCTTGTAAGAGGCTCTTGACTGCTGAATCTCCGACAGCTATAGCAACAATCCGACCTGGATCCTGGATTCTCAGAAATTCCTGAAGTCGCCTGCTCTCATTGTGGTATTCATGGGTATCAAACTTCTCACTTTCCAAAATTCTGGCTGTATCTTGGTCAATGACCCTCACATTGAGACCCCGGGAAAAGTCCTTTTCAAAGGTATAGGACCCAAAGGGCAAACCTGAGGAGTACAGAGTCCTTGCCAGCAATGTCCACGACGTCTTCTGTGTCCCATGTAACTCCAGTGTCCCCCCAGCTTCCACACCAATAAACTTTTTGCCAAATGTTGGCATACTTTCACCTTCATCTGACTTGCCATACAAGGTAATTGTCACTTTGGATTTATAGCGGCATTTTTCTGCTCCAATATGAAGCGCCCCACCATCCTGGATCAGGATGTAACGAGTCCTCAAAGTAATATTTCTGGATCCATCTTTATCATCCCCAAATACAAGCAGTCCTGCAAAGAACAGCACTCTTGTAAGCCAACTTCTAAAACACTGAGTCACAGAAAAATAGATTTCACCTTAAGGAGACAAAAAAAAAAAAATGCACTGCTACAATTAAGTTGGGAAAAGTTTACAAAGAATCTATACAGGAAACTAAGGTAGTTTTTCAAACAACATAAATTTAAAAACGAAGAGTTTATATTTCAATACATTGTAAGTGCCCAGAAGTATGAATTCCAATCCCTTCAGTTTAAAGGTAAATCATTTCTAGAAAAAATACTGAAGAGTATTTGCAAATCTGAATCTCCTGTTTATATTTGGTAATCTGTGTTAACTCTGATCATTTTCCATCAGTTGGAACAAATATTCAGCTATGACATACTTGTCTAGCAAGCATGAAGCCCTGAATTCAACCCCCAGCACAGCAAAATAAATAAAAAAATTAAAAAATTCAGCAGTGAGAAAGCTACTCTTGTTTTCCTGTAAGTTGAGAGTAGTGAGGTCAGTAATTTCTAAGGTCCTTATAAGCTCTTGAATCCATTCTGTAGTACAAACTTAGGAATTAAACACACCTCTATGGTTAAAGTGACACTACAGCCTACCCACTATTCAGTCTAAGCATGGTTTTCTACATGAGAAACGTCAAATAGTCCCCACACTAAAGAGCAAAATTATAGGTCTGATAGGCAGAAACTATTACCTACCTCCGTCCCGAATGACTATAGAATTCACTGTGACATCTGAAGTTAGACGGAACAGATCTCCCTCCTTGATAACAACTTGCTTTGCAGAATCTTGTCCGGGATCCCAGTTCCTGAGATGGGGGTTTTGATCTGGACAATTCTCTACAAAGCAACACAACACTGATGTGTCATCCAAAAACAAAACGCAACAGAACCATTAGCTAAATCCAAGCCTAATCATCATTGGGTAATGATCTGCCAGAAAGTTGCAGACACATTTTGATTTCCTGTCCAAAGTTAATCCTTTAATTCCTTGACACATTTAAAGACAAAAAATGTTATTATAAAATTAAGCTGCTAGCATCTAATTCATGCCAAACATCACAAGGTAAAAGTCAACTCTGAAAATAAAACCAACAGTAAGAAGCAAAATCATGAATTGCCCTTGGACCCACACTAGAACGCGGTTTTAGAAAAGAAAAGAAAGGGTTGGGCCTAGTGTTTTAGAACTAAAGGATTTGCCCAGCATGCCTGAAGCCCTGGGTTCAATCACCAGCCCTAAAAGAAAAAAAAGGCCAGGCAAGGTGGCTCACATTTGTAATGCTAGCTACTTGGGAGGTGGAGATGGAGAGGATCATTGTTTGAGGCCAGACCAGGCAAAAAGGTGCATAAGACCTCATCTCAACCAATAAACATCTGGGCATGGTGGCACATGGTGGCCCTATTCAAAAACTAACTAAACAAAAAGGACTGAGGGGCATGGCTCAAATGGGAAAGCACCTGGCTAGCAAGCACAAAGCCCTGAGTTTAAATCCGCTGCTACAAAAAAAAAAGAAAACATATATTCATACATATATATTCACAACATACTAGTAAATGAAAAACAGAAATTGCTAAATAATATGTATGCGAGTATCCTCAAGTTCCTATGCAGTGAATCACGAAGTAGGAAATAACAGCACCTCTTTGCAGCCATGTACACTTTTCTAACAAAACTGCAAGTGGCAAGTGGCCAAAACCACGACTTCTCATTTTCAGAGATGAGGAAATTACAGATCTGAGAAACCAAACTCAAGATTACTTAGCAAGTTGAGTGATATGGAAGCTCTGCCTTTTTAAGAACTGATGGACGGGGTGAATTCCACTACAATATATTGTAAGAACTCTTGTAACTATCATAATGTACCTCCAGTAAACAATAATATGATAATAAAAAAAAATTTTTAAAGAAAAACATCTCTTAAAGGAAAAAAATTAGTTTGCTAATTAATCGAAAAATATTAAAAGTATCTTAAATTTAACAAAAACAAAAAAAGAAAGGCAGTTTCTCAGGGAACAAAGACTCCTGACTATAATCTCAACAACCTGGGAGGCAAAGATCAGAAGAATTGGGCTGAAGGCTAGCCTGAGCAAAAATTTAGCAAGATCTCATCTCAATAAACCTGGAATGGTGGCATGAGTCGGTACTCCCAGCTATGCCAGTGGCCTTAGGCAAGAAGACTGTGGTCTGAGGCCATCCCCAGGCAAAAACTCAAGACCCTAGCTGAAAAACAATTAAAAGTAAAAACAAACAGGCTGGGGTGTGGCTCAAGTGCTAAAGTGCCTGCCTAGCAAGTGCAAGGGGCTCGAATCCCAGTACCACCCAAAAAAAATAGATGAGGTTTCTTTACTTGTAATGTTCCTTTACTAGAATTAGAATTTGCATCTTGAACAGGTTACAATAAATGCACAGCTGTTCATGCATGAAATCCTTAGCTTCTGCCATAATTAGTCAAAGGTGAGAGACCAAAAACTACACCTTCAATTTTGATCAACTAATGACCAAGTGCTTATTCAAGATGAATTTGTCCAGTCTGTAATAGATACTGTAAATTTTCTAAATCATAGAAAAAGGTCACATTCCCTCAGAGTTTATAAGCTAGCTTGGGAGAAAAAGCCATCATGTATGCAATGACTGAATGCTGAACAATGAGGTAGTTACTTTAGGTGCAAACAACCTCACACCAAGGAGGTTGTGGCTGGAGGTTATACTAGACCCAGACCCAAGAGGACAGACAGTGTTTAAATAAGAGACGCATGAAGAAGAGAAAAGAATAAGAGAAGTCCAGTATCCCCTGCCATCCAAGTCCACTTGGTTACTCGGTTAGAACAAGAAGACATCTGTATGCAAGTTAAGCAAATACAAAACTGAGGAAGATATGCTTGAGAACCACAAGAAGAAAAAGCTTTTGTTAAGGTGGAAGGCCCATGTTGGAGATCAACATGAGAGAAAAAGGAGAGGGTGGGTGTGGCACAAGCGTATTTTATATAGAAGATAAAATTCTGGTTCTCCATTTTGAACTTGCACACACCCAACACAATCGTCTTCCTATGTCTATGCCCTTAGGTTGCCTACACTTATGCTTTCACTTCAGTGTGAGAGGAACTACAGTTACAATTCATCTCACTAGCTAAGTCCTTGGCAGTTATTTTGTTTCATAATCAAATATTTAATTCTTCAGATTAATCCACGAGAGTTATGATGACACTAAAAACAATCCTTGGGTTGGGACAGTAGTAGAACGCTTGTTTAGCACTGAGTTCTACCATCAGCTCCACAAAATAATACAACAAAATAAAATATAAACAATCCTTAAACTTTTATTTCCATCAAAGAAACAACTGCAATGGATGGAACTGGAGAACATCATCTTAAGTGAAGTTAGCCAGGCTCATAAAGCCAAAAATCGTTCTCCCTCATATGCGGACTTTAGATCTAAAACAAATGCAGTAATATTATTGGACATGAGTCATATGCTAAGGGGAGAACACATACAGGAAGAATAGGGAAAGGTAGGAAACCCAAAACTTGAAAGTGTTTGATGTCCCCACTGAAGAGGAGCTAATATAGTAACCTTAAAATGACAGAGGTCACTATGGGAAGGTGACTGGGAAGCAGTGAAGAGATGTGCTAGAGATGAATCAATTTGGGTTGTAATATACATGTGCATGGAAGCAATGCTAGGAATCTCTCTGTATAGCTATCTTTATCTCAAACTAGCAAAAATGCTATGTCTTTCTTATTACTGCTTACGTCTTCTCTTCAACAAAACTGGAGAAGAGGGCAGAACAGGTTCTTCCTGGAAGTGAAGGGGTGGGGGGAGAGACAGAGGGCACAGGGGGAAGGGGGTAGAAATGGCCCAAACAATGTATACACAGATGAATAAATGAATACAAAATAAAAGAGAAAAGAAAAAAAGAAACAAGAAAACTCTCAAATTTTTCCTGACTTCATACTGAGGATTTCTCGGAACTTTTCATTGACTTCTCTCTCTTCCATAAAACATCTAGCTAGAATTCTCCATGGTGTTATATAAGAAGCAAATATATGTCTACTTCACAAGCACTGTACTGAGCTACTGAGAAGGAAATTCAGTCCTTTGCAATCTGGAGCCTAGTATGATTATTAAATAATTCCTCTTAACCATTTATAATTATTTCCCAGGAGAGGGTGCTTTATCAGAATCATCACCAAAAATTCCAGTCTGTTTCCTTCTAGTAAGATAGACTTAATGAGAAAATGTGTGATGTGCAGAAAGCACTGAAAAATAGCTCAGCCAGTCCCCCACCTTCCCAGCTACCCTCTTGTATAGTAGTGAATGCATCTGAACACCAAAAAAAACCATGAGGCTGACCCTGAAATATTTCAGCATACTAGATCTTTCCACTGACAATCTGCACTTACATTGCCAAAAAGTGAAACTAAAGAATGTTGATTCAAGGAACCACATCAGCAATTCAATGTCTTAGATGAAATATGAAAATACCAAGGAAAGCCACAGATTTCAGCTCTGGTTTCCCACTAGTCTAGCATCCCTTTACTGCAAATTACTTGGGAAGTATGAATCAGCAGCAGTGAACTTGGTTATTCTGCTGGGAAAAGGAGAAAGGAAGTCAATACTATGTGCAGTAGAAATCAACATTATGAATCTGAATGAAGTCTGACAACTTGGTCAACAAAGAAGTTGAGACAAACATCTCTCTTACTTCTAGTCTATTCTCTTAGAAGTGTTGATACTGCCTTTCCCATTGACTTTAAAATTTATAAGATGCCTAAAGCATCCATAAAAACTAAATAAAATAGTATTTGTAAGTATTGTAAGTGGTGAAGTGCCCCTGAACTGTTTAAGGAGGCATCTAGTCTTACAAAAATCTGCAGCAGACTTTGTTTTAAAAAATGTAGCCAAATATGGTGGCCAATGCAAGCTGTTCTCATTCCCTCCAGCATCGCCTGGAGCCCTCTGATTTTTACACACATACATGGGATTGCTTTATATGGCAATTCTTCGTTGGTATTCTATTAAAACTGCAACAAACTTCTTCTTCAAAACCACTTGATTATATTGCTGATAGAGTTCCTTGAAAGGCAAAGATCATGTAAGAAATTTAAATCTCCCTTCACAATATTTAACTATAAAGTAATGGGTGATTTTTTAGACAAATGTACCAGAACTTACACATCCAGATAAAAGCTTTCCTTCAAGGATAAACCTGAGAACACATTTAAAGCTCCTCTTTTGGAACTACCAAGCCTATTTCAAACCACAAAACACAAGTAGTATTTTTAGCCGTGATTTTTTGAAATCATATTTGACTTATTTGTGGGAAAAGAAGGATGAAATTGTTCTGCCACAAGAATTCCGTAAAGTATTTCTAAAAGAGATGCTCCAAAAACAATTTGAGCATCAGAACCAAGTGGAAAAGTGGAAAGGTAAAGTAATGCTTTAATTTACAATTTCCAATGGATTCCTTCAACAACTATTCTCACTTATAAGAAGTTAGACTTTTTATTACCTCACTGGATATTAGTTAGCAAGAGCCAATCTAAGGTAACAAAAGTTTTTAAAGACTGTTCTACCCTTTCCTTCCCTTCTCTCTTCTGGAATGCGTTGTGTGCACACACACACATATACTTACCATCTGGAGCATATTTTGAGGTTATTCCTAAAATGACTGCAAGTGCAACAAAAAATGAAAAACTAGTTATAGCAAAGCAAATGAAAGTGTTCTTGTGTCTCTTCTGCTTTCGGCTCTCCCTCTGGGTTTGCTGCTCTTCAGGAGAGAATGCAAAGCTTGCCCGTGCTTCTTGTCTGATGGAGGTAAATTTGGCTGAAGCTTGACTCTTTGGAGGAGGAGGAGGACGCAGTGGGACAACCTTCCCGGGAACGTAACCAGATGAGCGGTGGCTATTTCCATTCTGAGGTTGTAGGAAAGCAGGGGACTGTCCCCTGGAACCAGTGGCATACATGATACCCTGTCACTGTGAAAAGAAAATAAGATTTAGAATGTGCAAACCATAGTGATTTCAAAGCATTTTTTCATAAGGCTAAAAATCTTGTCATCTTATCCAATTTTTAAGTTCAGTAGCATAAAATGCATTTGCAAAGTCATGCAACCACTACCACCACTTATTCTTCTCCAGGATTTTTTCATCCTCTCTAACAGAAACCTTTACCTCACTCTGGTAACCACTGTACCAATTTCATGAAAATTATCAAGTCAGCTTGAATCCCTGACTTCATAAACCACTGACCATCACCTTCACTGATTGTTTTTAATTCTGCTGTTCTCCACCCCAAGGGCAGGTTATGACCACCTGTTAAGGCCAGGGCCATGCCCCAAAACAATTAAACGATGGGGGTGCCTGGGATCCAAGCAGTGCAGTTTTTAAATGCTCCCCAAGTAAATCTAAGGAGCATCCAGAGCCAATGTTCCCACCAACTGTTCTCAATTTTCATTATAGCTAAGAATCACCAAGGAAGTTTGTTAAAAGTATAGATTCCTGGGCTCTTTATCCCTGTCATTCTGGCCCAATTGGTACAAAGAGGACTTTGGATTTATACAAAAAAAAAAAAAAAAAAACCTTGGTGACACTGAAGCAGGTGGCCACACTTTGAGCATCACAGCACTAAACTCTTCAAATTAATATTAAAAGCCAATGTGTTACATGAGGACTCTAATGTGCCCCTGATAAGTTCCAGATAGAAGGGCATTCGTGTTTGAGTGCTGAATTTTCCCACTAGGTTTACCTTCTGGTTAAACAATTTAAGTACTTCTACCTGTGTTCTCACTTCATTATAAAATGACTGTATTCACAGTGAAAGTCTTTATATTCTGATATGTTGTTTAAAAACCAGCAGACATTCAACTATGTTTCAGATGGTTAAAAAAAAAAAAAAGCTAAAATGCACTTCTTGCCAGCACTGTTCTAAACACCTTATGTATTACTGACTCACTTAACATAACTAATCCAACAAATCTATATGCAAGTACCATTATCCCCATTTTGCCCAAGAATAAAAATACTGAGGCCTTGAAAGGATAATTAACTTCCTCACACATCACAGTTAGTACAGAGATCCAGGACTTAAAAACCAAGGTACTTTGACATTAAAGATCAAGCTCTGAACAATTACACTACTATGTCTTGCCAAATAATTGAGAGGACATAACTTCAAAGGCTGTGTTTTGCAAGGGTGCAATCAGAACTGCCCTGGGTCTGAAAAGGCAGGTTAATTTCCTCAGGAATCCTTCATGCATCCCTTTTTTCATTTTTTTTTAATATTCTTTATAGTGAGCAATTATAAGAGCAAGTTTTGAATGAAACTTTATTGGAAGGAAGGGAGGAAGAAAGGAAAGGAAGAAGGTAGGAAGGAGGGGAATGAGAGGGAGGGAGGGGGAAGGAGAGGAAGGAGGGGAAAGAAGGGAAAGGAGTGGGGAGGAAGGGAGGAAGGAGGAAGGAAGGGAGGGAAGGAGGGATAAAGGAAGGAAGGAAGGGAGAGACTGGAGAGGAAGGAGAGAAGATGAAGGGAAGGGAGGAAGGACCTAGCTAGCTATACCATATAATGTCTTATTGAAATAACTATAAATAAGATGTGCCCTATGGCTTCAGAAACATGATGTTCAACCTCTTCTATTACATCTCTTCCTAAAATATTGGAGCACCTCACAGTCATCTGACTTCATTCAATACCCTCACAATTAATCTCTCTGTCTGTCAGTAATGGCCAAACAATAAATGAGATTCTAGTCATATGGGTGCCTCCAAATTGTTCTAAATTATCAGCAAGCCCATTAAACCCAAAATGGTCATTAGAGAAGCCACAAAGAAGCATTTCCTGGACACAAAGGACCTGGAAATTAATGGGGACAGAAAATCTAATCAGGAATTGATGGTGAGTTTACAGGGAGCAAAGACCATTCTGCACAGAGTCAGTGTGTCTATCAAAAATGCTTGGTTTGTGGGGTTTCATTTGTGGATGAAAATAATTATTTAGATGAATCTTATACTTCATGACAAAGGAAAAACACCACCATTCAAGGTGCTATTGAAGAAACTGCTGCCTATGCCAAGCAACAGAGTAAAATAATGGGTAAATCCTACTGGAACAAATCATAGTATAACAAAGACTCCTTTATGATCCTCAATTAACAAAGAAAGAAGTAAACTAGGTTTTCTTGAGTGCCAAGCTCATGAGAAGGGGAGGGAAGAAGAGGGAGTCGAGACCATATTCTGCTTTGAAAGGAGTGGGAATCCTTTGTTCCTCAGCCTGCAATTCTCCAAATACCTCATTGTTTCAGGGTGAGAAAGGCTGTTATTACTTAGCAGGATGGAGGGCCCTTTTGTGGGAGACAATGTGTCACCAGATGTACCTCGCAAAAAAAAAAAAAAAAACCTAAATAAAAGGCAGTGAGAGGCTCAATGGAGTTCTAGTCCACTGAAAATAACTGAGAATAATCTGTGTCCTCAAGGTCACAAAAATGGCAATCTAACATGAAAATTCAGATAGTGTTACCACACACTAAAAGGATATTCTGAGTCCATTAGTTCTCTGAAAACTCTGTGAATGCACAAGCATTCTTTTCCTAGCAAGTAACATACTGTTGTACCAATTATTTTAGACTAAAACAAAGCATAAAATCAAATTTAAACAGATATCTTTCTCAATGCATTAAGATCTTTAAAAACATAAGACACAATTATGTAAGAGTTCATTTCACATTTATGGGTTTACTTTAGAGATAGCATTATGAATCAATTACTTTCATATACAATGATTGCTAATTGTAGATTCAAATTGTTCATAAGGGAAAAGACATTTCATTTATTCAGTAAGCAACTGTAAGCTCTTGCTGTTCATTAGAGGATTATGGTAGGCACAAAGGGGGACAGACAAAGATTGACAGCACCCCAATCTTTGAATCTAAATTCAGTTTTAAATCACTTGTTTGGAAGGTGGAGTGAAATTAGCCAATGAATACTGTTAAAATGTGTTCAGGTTCCCAGGCTTAACCCATAAGGTTCTTAATACTACATGAAGCATCCTGAAAACAAAGGAGGGAACTACCAAAGGTTTCCTTTGGCTTTCAAGGCTTTAATGCAAACTTTAGGCACAATTTTAATTTTCTAGGAACCTAAATTTTGCTTGGTTACAATATGTGTGTTTGCATTACATGCCATTTTTAAAGGCTGCAGTTGTAGTGGAAAACACATACTACACAAAAGGAGCACATCAGTATCTTACAATACAATTTCAGGATTAAGAAAACAGATAATCCAAAATGGGGGATAATTCAAGTCATTCATATTGAAACTGGAAATGCTTTCATGGTTTTTAGATATAAATTGTGATATTTAGATAATACCTCAAAATTCCTTGAGAGAATTATTTTGGATGATAAAGAACAGTAGCCCAAAAGGCTTCATTATAAGTCAAACAAGCAAGTAAAAAAATTAATATTTTATACAGGCAATTTAGGCAAATATTTAAAGTAGATAACCAAAGAAATTACTACAACTATGAAAACATGAATGCACTTAAAAGATATAAATCTAAATATTAGGGAAAAGCATTCAAGAAGTACCTAGTACTTTTTATCTAATTTCAGTTGCTCCCAAAAAGGTACCTTAAAACTCACTACTATTTTAAATAAAACTCTTCTCTTGGGGGAAAAGAAAAGTGTTTCACTTAAAACAAAACCTCAAGGTGGGAGAGATATAGTTGGCAAGGACATTCAATTAATTTAGTCAGAAATTATAGTTAAAAGATCACAGAAAGCAAAACATTTTTAAATTTCAATAATGTTAAGGGAGATCATGAATTAACCTGTAAAAAGGAGTATGATTTTAAGAAAACAGATATTCTCATTCAAAAGCCTTCAAAGCCTTCTCAAGATTCCCTAACTTCCCATTCTGTTTGTTCTTCCCTGTATTTTGTTTAAAACTTTTATAGGATCATCTTGCATTTGTCTAATGTTGCAGTTAATTTATGTGCTTGTCCATCTCCTGCAATAGATTATAAACCTCTTGAGACCAGGGTCTTTCTCATCTTGATATTCTCATAGGACCTTACATACAGTAGGTACTCAATAAGTGGTTGTTGAACTTAGAACGCAAATTCCTAAAAAAGAATTCTACATAAATGCTAGGGGGTATGTATGTATATATACATAATACACACATATATAATATCATGTACACATATAATCCTTTTGTCTTATGTATACACTATACATTTACACATTCATATAGATTTTATATTTTTTATGCATGGGAGAAAAAAGATGGCTGAGGACTGACAATGTAGCTAAATAGTGAAGGCCTGAATTCAATCCTTAACACCACAAAAAAAATGTTGAAAAAAATTTAAGTCCATTTTCATTTAGAAATCTGATTGACTTTGTGTACATATACTCCCAAAGAATCTGCTGAACTACAGATTATTTTCTCTTCCCTCTTCATTCTGCCCTCTCTCCCCTCAAAACACACACACACTGGAATTTCCCATTTAATCCTTCTTCTACAATCTTGAGGTTCTGGGGAATTTAACTAATCTCTTTCTCATGTCTCTGATTTGGGAGAAATTAAAAACTATTAACTCAAGCAAAAAAAAAAAAGTCAATGCATTAACTATAACAAAATGAAATTCTACTATGACATCTAGCTGGTAACTAAAGGTGTAATCAACCACTGCAAATAAGAATTCTAAAGATAGAGTGGCAAATGACCTGGACAAGTTCAACCTTTCACAATGTTTTGTTTATAGCTTTAGCCACACACTATGAAATGCAGTAGGCACATAGGAAAAAGGAAAACAGTCCACTATGCTGATGGTGAATAAAAGCTGTGACCAAAAGGAAAGTCCTCTCAATACAAAAACAGCAGCAGTAATTCAGAAGTAGTAGAGTTCTTTCAAGGACCGGGTTCTAATAGTCTTTCTACTGCTGATACACCAACATGCAAGACAAATTCACTACCAC